AATCAATTTAATTAAACTAAACATGTACACTGCTGCACATGAACATTGTTTGTTCAAAATTAGCTCACAGGTGTATCATTATTAAGATTAGTAGTATACATAGTCCCAAAAATACAATGGATTTATTAAAAATAATCTAAATCAAGTGATCAATAACCTAACCCATAAACTTTATTTATCTTTTTACCATTTAAATTTATTCTTACAATGCTTTTTTGCAAAAATTTGTTTTTAATGTTATTGACATTTGAAAGAAAGAAAATGTTCCTAGTAATCAAATATGCACATTTAGAGCTTTAAAATTCAATTAAGTACCCTGCATAAAATACTGAAAAGTTAGTCAGTTTTAACATTGGAACACAAGGCTTTCATTTTAATTTTTGTCACACACTTAAAAGATTTGACGAAATTCATCAAATGACATTTGTCAGACAAACTCGTTGATTCATCTGACTGACCAAAATATCAGTCAGACTGAAAATTAACGGAAAATTCTGCTATAGGTAAAATCCAAAAAAATAATCTGTTTTCTCTGAGACCATTTCCGATTTAGACTCTGTATTAGGTATTTAGCGCATGCTCAGCAAATATATACACTAAATTGTTAATTTTGTATTAAAAGAATTTCTTAATGATTTATAGTATCTATGCCAGTATGGTAAAAATGAACTAAAAAAGCTAGTGGTATCAATGTATTAGTATTAATCAAAATGATGATGACAACAAAAACTGTATCAAAATTTGTTTTTATTTTGATATCTGAATATGGGGTCAGACATATGTTTGTACCAGACATTTGGACTGGTGAATGACCAATATTTGTCTGACCCACAGCATATCTTTTGGATTTGTTCAATGGTCCAGTGTATTTGGTGAAGTCAAGTTATCAAGTTTGTAACTTACTAATAGCAGACCAATAAATAAGAAATGTAAATTTCAATATAGGTTAGACTGAAAATGAAAATATATATTTACTCCACAAGACGGTTAAACGCCCATTTTCATCTCACGATTCCATCATTAAAGACAGTAAAATTTTGTCCTTTAAATAACAAATTTTTAATAGAAATCTTTTAGCTGATCCCATTCAAGATACAAATATTGAAGACCTACTCCAAACAATAACCTTTTCAATATTCACATACAAATTAAGAAGATAATACATTATATCTATGTGTCTTATGACAATATTTAAACTATGTTTGTTATCTTTAATGACTTTTGGATGAAAGACATGAAAAATCACTTCAATAATTTTTTCTGACAAAATAATAATCTTTTTATTAAAAGGAGACCAGGAATTTTATTTAGATCTGTTAGAACTATAAATTTAAATTAAATTTTTTCCTGTTTTCACAATCAATTTGGGATCAAAAGTGGTCAAAAAAGATAAACCTATCAACATCTCACCGAGTAGACAATATTAATATTATTAAATATTAATATGACAGGCCTTTGATAGGTCTCGACTTGTTGTGATTGATTTTATATGATGACACAAACCATTCAGTATACTATGGACTGTACAAAATATATTTCTAGATAGAATTGTACTACATGGCATATAGTGGAGGGGTCCTTTCTGCTTTTAAATCTATAAAAAATATCTGCTTCATTTCCAATACAAACTAAACTTTTAGTATGTGAGAAATATAGGTTTCATAACGAGTGAGAATTGAACATCGCTTGATATGAACCTCAAGTTATTTAATTTCAATATAAGAATGAAGACTCTTTGTAGAGTATATTATTATTATTAAAATCTAATAACTAGAGTCATTATCCAATTCTCAAGATTTGTTAAACCTATTTCTCTTATAGAGAAAAAAAATTTTTGGTAAAATCTTTTTGATTTTGCAAGCTTTACTTCAAAAGTAATTTCCCTAAAGGTTTTGAGAATATTGTGTCAGGAACCCAAACTACTGTTAAGATTAGACATTTTCATGCTTTTTGTACACTTCAGAATGAAATAAAATTTGACAAAAAGAATATTTACATCACAAATCTCCATTGCCAAGGGGGATATGTGACTTTTGAAAGTCATTATTTACCTTACAAATACCATAAGGAAATGTTGCAATTTCATAACACATTCAGTTTTAAATATCGCTTTTGTACAAGAAATAGATAACAGGTCAGAACTATTAGAGAAACTATTCTATCTAGTTATCAAATGAAAAATTAAAGTGACTGTAATGAAATAGACACACTTTTACCCCTATTTACGCATATTTTGGGTCATTAATACTATAAGTTTTCTGGAATAAAAGGGAAAAATTAAAACGAACAGATACACGGATGAACAGATGTAAATCTTCATGCCAGTTTGCTTGATGCTTACATGACAATATAGATTTCTAATTTGAGGGGTTTAGGAAGAAAGAATGATACCTTATGATAACTTAAATATGGCATTCTGATTGTTCAGGGAGAAATAATTAGAGAGAATAATTTAAGATGCTGATAAATGGATTGGAACACCACCCTTCCACCTCCTTCAGGGCCTGCATTAATTGAATCTTATGTATGACATCACCACAGTAGTGCTAGCTGTTGTTTACAACTGTGAATGTTTGTGCTTCTTTTGAATTGGAAATAAAATTTATAAACTTAAATACAGCTGCATACTTTATATTAACTTTTCATCAAAAATTCCTTTTTACATCGGATGTGACCTTGAGAGGTCATACCGATGTTATGTTGCCACAGAAATTTCTTGCGCTTTTGACAGATAACCGAACGTATTTCGTATAAATACACGGATATTATCGAGTGCAAAATAACATTCCTTATTGCTTGTTATAAATTCATTTCTTCAGTGAATACTCATGAAATTATTTTAAATGATGTGAAAAAGTTTTATCGTGAGAAATATATATATATCAGTATCAAATCATGAATACCGAAAATGTGTGTTAACGAACGCAGAAGAATATTTCGAGGACGTTTTGCACTGACAAGGATGAAAATTTGCCTGTAGAGTTATTAAAATGATCTGCTATATATATAACTGTTTTACAAGTATTAATATAATTTATAACAACCAGCTTTATTATATTGATAACAAATGATTATATCACTACAATATAATAATTATTACAGTGAGGTTGAATTCCCTGTCATTTATTCATCATCCACACAGGAACTTGTCTCAGAAAAAAAAACATATCTATGTTCCTTAACCTAACTTTCAGGTAAAGAGATAAGATTTTTTTTCTGAAACAAGTGCCTGTGACCATCCACCAGAACTTGCAGTCATCCAATGTTCAGTACTTCAGTACTTGGATTGTACTAATTGGGACACATAGTAACCCTAACTTATTGAAGAGATACAACAAATAGAACCTACCAGATAAACCATTAATTCACACATATTTGTTATAATCCATGTAAATTCTGCTTCAATCTAACTCTTTCATAAAAAGAAAGTGGCACACAACTTGATTCTATTCAGAATGTATAACATCATTATTAAATAATTAATGAATTGATGAGTAAACCACCTGTCAAGGTGTTGTTTTTTTTTACCTGTATAAGGTAGTCAATGTATCTACTTATAATTACGGAGTATTGATTTAGTAATTAATGTAATCACTGTCAAATATCTGACATAATTTCGGGTAATCAACTATATAAAAAAGTCTATTATTTGACCATAACACACAGGGTTATTAACCACACAATATTTCTTCTGATGCAAGTTGCTGTAGAAAACTATTCTCCAGTTCAATGACTATCTGTTATGTGATATTACACCATACTTCAAACTTCAATACATATTCATACACCAAAGCTAAGACAACATAGAATTTGTTTACTCCAAAACATTAAAGCATTGAAGGGTAAAGATTTCTTTCATTTTGCAATATGAACTTAAAATTGAACATTGCATTTTATTGAGCAATGGAACACGTTCAGGCAATATTTTCAATAGGAGTTATCTATCTTTGTCCATTACTACAATTTGTAGATGAACATATTTTTCTAAAAGTTGATTCTTATACCATGGTCCATGCACAAAAATCTGAAATCATATCATTAATAAATCGCTTGACATGAACTTGGATAGGATCTAAAGAATATTTACCTCACTGCAGAATGATGTTTGTGCTCTTTAAGGTAAAGATGAGGCTTGGAAAATATAGTATAGCTATCAAGCCAGTGGTATAAGGGTTTTGATTGCATTTCACACAATTCTTACCAAACTTAAACAACATTATTGTGATTATTTGAAAGGTTCTTTTTTAATAATTACTCATCCTTCTATACCTCTTAATTAATAAGCTTCAAACAAATGTACCAATGTCGGAGGCACTATAATGATATTGCTTAAAATTCATTACTGTAAAATGCTCTTGAAGTTGATGTCCTGGTGATAGAATCTAATGTAATTTGAAATACTTTTTAACATTTTATTGTAATAATAGTATAGAAATTTAAATAACTTAAAATATTGCCTAAAATTGATCATTTAGATGAGTTTTTGGCAGTCTTTCAATGTTTAGATACTGATAGAAAGCTCTTATTGAGAATAGTGCTGTAAGCTGGAATGTCTAAGTCAAGTTTATAAAACAATAACATCTTATGAAGGAAGTGACTCAATATATCAGTTATGGTATTCAAATAGAAAAAATAAAACCAAATGTATCCATAGGACACAATAATCTGCTCCCAATTTTACATTTCCATTTTCAGTCAATAACCACAAAATCTCGGAGAAAACCTTAACATAGCATATATTTAAAAAAGTCCACTTAATAATGAATAGCTGTGGTAAGTTTCTAGTTGATGTGGCAACAAATTCATGGTAAACTATCTTCAACCAAATCTTATTCCTGATAGGGGACAGATGAACAGACAGACCAGAAAAAATAATGCTCCTCAACTATCCAAGGTGGGGCATAAAAATTTTGGTAGCGAGCTGCAAATTGCATATGACACATTAACAATTGCAGGTGTGGAACATTAAATTCAGAAATCCAAGTATAAGAAAAACTTACCGTTTTGTGTTAGTTGTCTTGATTGGCTGCCGTGAGGAGAAAGAAGTAACGCTCTCTTCAACCTGTCCCTTCATTGAAGTGTATGACCTTGATTTGTCTTCTTTCTGTATTGTCTCCTCTACTATGGGGGTAGCTGAATAAGATGACTGAACAGCTGATGCAGTCTCCTTTACAACAGGGGCGGAGACAGGAGCAGTAAAGGACATTAAATCATCTGCCTTTTCTAACGATTCTTCAACAACAGGTTTTGAACTGGTTCCTTCTTTCTGCTGAGCTTTATTCATAGTTACATTAGCTTTGTATATCTGGAAGGAATGTTCATAAAGTATATAGCTGAGCTTTATCTGTAGTGTCTTACACATTCTTACAGACATTCAAATAATTTTGAAAGCTAGAACAGATGTAGAAAATGTGATAAATCTTGGAAGCATTTTAGAGTTTGTGTGGGAAAAAAAAAAGATTACTATCAGACTTTGTCCAAAAAAAAAACTCTTATTTGAAGGAATATAGATCAAATTCTACACATTTGCAAATTAAAAATTTGAAGAATTAAAAAATATTGAATATCTTACCATCTCAGAACCTCAACATCAAAATCAATATTCTACTATACTAACTTTCATTCCAGTCAAAAGAATCAATAATTAAAAAAATCAAGCTTTCAGTTACAAACAAAGTAAATAAACTATAGAACACTTCTTGATCTTTAGAAATTTATACAATTTAGAAAAATTTGTTTGGACTCTCATTTAATTAGCTTATTAGGAATGCAGTCTAAATTGTACACAATAAAACTGTACCAGAAGATGAATATATTATATTGGTTCAAATACAAAATATTAATTGTACAACAGGCTAAAAAGTGCATATCATGTTTAGGATGAATTTAACAGGTCCAAAAAACTATCTTTGGCATTTCAAATATCTTTGTATCAGCTTTTCTACTATTTGGTAAGAAGATACATCCTTAAGAATTAGCATAGGCATTTTATGACATGCAATATATATATACATTGATTACAAAAGTGAACGTATTCTAGAGTATATATACTAAAGCAGCTATGTTAAAGATATTTTTCTGGCATAAATACACACTAATATTCAACTGAACAAAGAACTGTACATTGCTGCAAAAAATAAAAAGCTCTTCAGTTGTGTAAATGATGACGCCCTAACATGCTTGCAAGTCATTTTAAAAAGGACTTTATTACTTGAAAAAATAATTCTTTTTTATTTAAAATGTTACATCTCCATAACTTAATATTTACTTCTATAAGTAATTCTAGATGACACATTGAATTTAATTGAAACATCATCCAAGTGGATCCATAAGGATGAAGAATGGGAAAAGTGTATGATGAATGGATAAACAGGGTATGTTTGACAGGGGCAAAACATTTGCCTTGCAACAAGCCACCATACAATGCACTTACAGGGAATATGAGCTCATGTCCTATGTGAACAATTATGTTATTCTAGAATAATTCTTATATGATTTGCATATTAGAGAATACATTGATATGATTGGTCGAGAGGACTTCCGGCAGCTGTTCTTGACGTTGTTTATTTTTCGATAGACTACGTTGACCAAACTTCTTTTTGTAACCAATGTAAACAAGATGGCGGCGATAATAACACAATCCGACTGGACGTTAAAAATATTTGTTTTCACTTCACGTTAATCGTTAAATAAAATGATCAACATAAAACATTTATTCGAATGATAATAAGAGTTTTTGTATCTTTTTTTTATCAGATAGCAAATTTCATGGAGTACAAATTTTTTTGCGTTAATCAACAAATATATTCATGCGCCAGGCCAAATCAATGACACAAATATACAAATTACGTGTGATAGATATAACAAGTGTGGAAAATTAAATTTGTTATCTTAAATTTTAAAGAATTATAAGGATTAAACATCTTTTTAAAGGAATTTATTGGTGTATAAACTGGACCAAGTCACTCACAAACATATCATAAAAGTCCTTCAGACTTTTTTTTTGTTTGTGAGTGACTTGGTCGAGTTTATACACCAATAAATTCCTTTAAAAAGGCTTTTAATCCTATAGTGTCCCGACTTCAACATTGACTACCATTCTGTAAAAAGCTCTTAAGAGCTTATGTTTGTATTGTTATATGTGAACCGAATCAAAATAAAACTTTCGTATTCGTATTCGTATTCGTATTCGTATTCGTATTCGTATTCTGATCTTTGTGTTTGTTTACATAGTATATGGGCTCATATCCCATTGCAGGATTAGCTGGTATTTCACTCCAGTATAATCTTATGTACAAAATTGATTTGTTTGGTGTCACCTAATATTATATATACAACATAAACAATGCATATATATTTATATTTGTAGAAATATAGAGATTAAAGAGATATTGATGACATGTATAGCGTATAAATAGTATGTATAAATAGTAGCCATTACTTAGCAGATATCTATATATATTTATATGTTTTGTGACAGTTTTTTCAGGACATGCAACATTAAAAAGTTTGAGTCTTTATATTAATAACATGGATCTTCCAGCATCCCTTTTCAGAACACAAAGTTTGTAAAATCTAATCTGTTGAAAATAGTTAAAACCAAATCCATTCTTTGAAACTTTATTAGTCAAAAACATTTGCTGTGAAAGTTCGTTTTCCCTTATATTCAGTGTAAAGCCTGTTGTCTGACTCCATGTCATAAGTATAACTGTTTAAATTGGTTTGACCTTAGAATGACTTTCAAAAAGATGTAACTATATAAATCAAAATTTACAGAAAAATATCACACAAATTTTACAAATGATAGTATACATGAATGAGCCAAAAAGAAATATGTCCTGAAAAAAATCACATGATATAACTAGAAGCTCTATATAGGTCACACATGTAATACCTCAGACTTGGTGGACTTTAGAAAGTCTGTCACACTGAGGAGGTTTACTCGCCTCATTTCAAACTGTGTTAACATAAGTGTACTTATTACTGATTATCTTGTTTGGTAAATCTATATTACTACGATTCTCATAAGCAGCAAACCTAACATTGTTGCAAGCATTTTACAACAAAGCTAATTATCAATGTCCTGAACACATTTTGATTATCACTCCTTAGAATATTGGTGAAATTTTGGACCTTTCATATACTGTTCCTGATACTTCCAGTTCAATTTTTGAATTAAAGTAGCTATTGATTGTGTTCAGGTTATTGCAATCAACTGTGGTCAATATTCTATTTTCAGTTTTTCTAAATTCAATATATTTCTGTCTACTCTACTTTTCACCATTTAATTAATACTTTCATGCAATTATAGTAGTGATGTAACATTTTTCTTTTTAAATATCTAAACGTGTGAAAATGGAGAAATTTTTTGTTAATGTTTAAACAGAAAATTAAGATATTAACAATAATCACCGGGGATCAACTAAACCCCTGTGATCAACTAAATTAAGTTTTAGTTTAACATTTTGCAAATGAAGTTACATGCAAGTAAAAAGATACAAAAACATATTTATAATATCTTTAATAATGAGGATATTGGCATTTAGATAGTAGATTAACATGCAAACATTAAAAATAATGTCATACAAAATAAATCCTAAGCTTTCCAGGTCTTTCAGATAAGGCAAAAAGGTACTCTTTATCATGTTTATATTTTCCATCAAAAAAATTATATCAGTTTATCTGATATCTGTAAAAGAAAAAAATTAATTCTCTGAATTTGATTTCAAAAAGAAAGAAAAAAAGGTCTATGAGGCAAGTTTTTGAGTAGAATGAAGGAGGACCTGATAAACTATATAGTTTTTATTTTGTCAGAAGAAAGACAAAATATTTAGAGTGAAACATTATAAACTATTTAAAATAATCAAATGAAGAATTTATAACTATAAAAAGTTTTTTTCTTTCATATTAGAGATAATCATTAAAAAATCAGATAAAATCACAAACTACAACTTATTAAAGCATTAAGTAGCAAAACAGACTAAAAGATAGATTCTTACCACTTCATTTTCCTAGCAATAAAAATACATATATGTAGATAGGATTGTGATGCTTACACAGAAAACTCACTGAATCAAAAACACTTCAATAATTAAGCAGAACTTAGAAATCTATAGACTTGCAGACAAGGGTAAATCTAAATGCTCCTGACATATTCATGCCATAGTCCACAGCGTAATATAATTTTATGCATCTTGCAGACAAGAGCAACAAAATTTTTAATATAATCTATGTTCGAAAATAAAGAAATTCAAAGGTGATTGCTGGCTCTATAAGTCGAGATTTTTTTAACCCTGAACATAAAATTTTATTTCAAAATTCCATAAGATGTTTTCCAAACAACCAAATCGAAATTTAAGTCAATTCCACTGATTTACAACTTTTTTTCCTCTCTATATTGGTATGACATGTGCACAATTCTCTTGAAAGAAATAAACCCATTTTCTAAAATAGTGTATTATGATGCTGAACTGATAGACAATTATAGATTTATTCAATTTTACCAATGGATGTTAAAGCACAACAGAGGACTGAAAGTCGTATTTAAGTATTCAATTTTTTCCTCCAATTTTTTCATACAATATAGAGCCAAATGAAACCAACTTCAAAATGAAATATTTTATTTCATATTTAACTTGTTTATTTTAAGATAGCAATTATAATTTATGTCCTTCTAAAATTTGGAAGTCTTTAACTCAGAAGCACTAAGGGTTACTGAAAATGAAAGAGGTTAATTGTAATTTGCAACCTCTACGTGCATTCACCAAATACCAAATGGAAAAATGCAAAGGTACCACATACAACTAATGAAGTTTTAAAAGACTTGTACAAGTATTCTTACCCTTCTTGGTGATGAAGTTTCTTCATCTTTAAATGAATTTTTCTTAGTTAATTTATCACTTCCATTCTGAAAAAAAGTAAAATAAGATACATTTATTAACAAATTTCCAATAGTTTTCAAAAATGTGCTTTTATAGTTTATTTGAAAAACACAGCAAAATAAAAGTCATGAAGGCACATATAATGCCCAGTCATATGATCTAAACAAGTTGAACTGTGAGCTATTGCTTACTAATGATAACCCCCCTATAAGTATTTGAAAAACAGGAAGTTGATGAGTGCAGGGCCTAATCTAGGATTATGTAGAGGGAGAAGTGACTTCTCTTTTCACGAGAGAGTAGGGAGAAGTGGTCAATTTCTTGGAGAAATGAAATTCCATTACCGTTTCGGTTGCATAGTGTTTTCGCGCTTATCACTGGAAATTGTTTTATATATGGAATAAAAAATATACTTGCAGTGTTTTATATGATATTGTAAAAAATGTATATATTGAAATTCTTTATAAAAAAAAGTTTAAAGAATATAGTTGTTATGTATTTATTCATACCATCAATTGTACTGTCAATGTGAATTTAAGTTGAAATAAAATTTGTTGCTAGCCTAGTAATATTATCATGCATTAATCTCATGTGCATCTGCCTCAATTTATATTTAAATTTCTAGAAAACTATGACTCCCAGTTTATCTGATGACTTTTAAATGACTGGGCAATTCAATGTATATCACCACTAGTCATAATTTTGCAAAACAGCATTGAACGTCAAGGACATCATGTCATTTGTAAATAGAGATTCTCGTAAAAGATTGTTAGCCTATAAATGAAGATTTCTGTCACCACATATTAATTAACCAATAAAGAGCTTATTTTATAAAAGAGATCTCCCTTATTAATGATTTGGTTTGTGAAAAAACACACTGCTGATGACAAGCTGGCCATGTGTCCTACGTTTGTAATCACAATATTCATCAGCTGTCTTTCTACCTTTTATATTTCAATTTTTATGCAATGAATATAAAACAATCACCCGTTATTTCCACCCTTAACCTACCAAATAGTGCAACTGATCGACTCGTAATAACTAATAAACTGTTAACACAGAGATATGTCTCACCTTTTGTAATTTTGATAATGCAAATGTTGAAATTAAAATAGCAATACTTTAACATGTAAGTTATGCAAATATTCAAAGTCAATGCACCATGACTGAAGGTATGTGGCTAAAACATCTCCATGGAAATGAGATGTGCCAATGCATACCAAATGCCATCGACTAATCATAAGTTGTTCCCTTTAAACAAACCTAAACACAAGCAAACATTAGTTTGTAAACTATGTAAAAGTTTCAAAGTCAATGAACCATGATGAGGAGGTGGGGCTATATAATATCCATGGAAACAAGACTTGCAAATGCCAATACATTTGCATACCAAATATCATTGACTTAACATTAGCGGTTCATCATAAACTGATCTAATCACAAACTAATACCCTGTAAACTAAGCAAAAGTTTTAAAGTTAATAGCCATGATTGAGGGGGCGGGGCCAAATATTCTCCATGGAAATGAGATGTGCTAATGCTTATACAACTGCATACCAATTAACATTGGCCTACCACTAATGGTTCCCTTGAACTGACCTAATCACAAACTAAGACATGTAAACTAAGCAAAATTTTCAAAGACAATAGACCATGACTGAGGGGGTGGAGCCAAACAATCTCCATGGAAATGAGATGTACCAATGCTAATACAACTGCATACAAAATATCATTGACCTACCACTAGTGATTCACCATAAACTAGACCTAATCATAAAGTAATACATTATTGACGACGCCGCAGGCGACGGAAACAGTATACCTATGTCTCGCTTTTTGACTCCGTCAAGGCGAGACATAAATAAAACAAATCAGCTGATTGGTTACGTAACATCCTCAGATGGAAATCATTGTAAAATGATAACTCAAACAGTCGCTCAGCTTCCCGTTTTAATAGTTTTGAATGTTTAATCTGAGGATGTTCAAATTCGCCTTTGTATTTATTTCATTTAATCGTCGACAGTATTAGTCCTTGGTCGTTTTGAAAATCTTGATTTTCCTTGTCAGTCGCCATTTTTGTTTACCTGTGCGACTTGTAAATTACAAGTTGTCTCCCTTATACCGATTTTGATAGCGATTTGACTTCGCTATGAAGTCAGTCGGCTGGCGAGTTTTAGCGATTTTCAAAATTCTTTGGCAACTTAAATCGTCAGCCTGGATGAGTGATGGATGTAAAATCTTATCACACGTTAAAACTTGCTCAAATGAAGGTTGTTTAAAAAAATGCATCACATAGTATAGCATGATCATGTGAAGATTCAGGTAGATCAGATTTGTAATTTCTGACAAAAATTGGACCTAAATTTCATTGGACTAATAGATTGATAGAAACATGAATGGAAGTAAGGATGGACAGACGGAAACTATTATACCCCTAGTTTGGTGCATGAGTATAATCATATTTAAATTACATCCATTTAACTAACAATGCACCCTAAAATTATCTAAAAGATTACAAAGTTCAACACCTAGTAGTTTCATGGAACATTTTGTGAAAAATACAAATTGCAGCCTCATGCCAACTTTCAGTATATTTTTTGCAAATTACAGCAGTTCAAGGTTGAAAAACAGTATGAGGGGTACAAACCATGTATCCTAATAAAAACTACACTCATATTTACGACAACTAATAAAAGTTTTGAGAAAGATCAACATTTTTTTTGCATGGTCATCTACATATAAGTAAAATTGTTTGAAAAATTACAAAGGTACTTGCTTGTAAATTTTAAAAGAAGAAAAGTCCAATCTGCAGATGTTACTTTATCATATTTACAAAACTAGGTAATTGGTTTATATTTCAAGGACTGGATGGTTACCAGAAATACAAAGCTTGGACAAACAGAGAAGACCAGATAAATATTAAAATAACCTTCTGTATCTGTTCTTTCTTTTGTCTTTCTTCCTCCTGTCTATGAGCCTCCTCTTCTAATTGTTGTCTATGAGCCTCCTCCTCTAAATGTTGCTTATGAGCCTCTTCTTCCAATTGTTGCCTGTGAGCTTCTTCTAGTTGCTGCCTCCGAGCCTCTTCTTCCATTCTTTGCCTTTGTGCATCCTCCTCCATTTGTCTTTTCAAAGCCTCCTCTTCTTCTAACTTCTGTCTTAATGCTTCCTCTTCTTCCTCTCTCTTGAGCTGTTCTTGTCGCTGAAGTTCCTCCCATTCTTCCTGCTCAGCCAATCTTTCTGCCTCCCTTTGTCTTTCTAATTCTTCTTCTCTCCTTCTTTCTGCCTCCTCTTCTAACTTTTGTTTATGCTCCTATGAATATGCATTAACATTTTAACAAGAGGCTCTCAAGAGCCTGAATCGCTCACCTGATTTGTTAAAGCTTAATTCATTCATCAATCATGATTTATATTTTTGAGTAATAATGTATATGTGTTTGCTTAAAAAGGCACCTTTTTTTTTTGGGGGGGGGGGGGGGGGGGGGTCATTGTTCTGAACATGTTCATGCAGATAGATCAATACTATTTTTCTCATTTACACTTTCTTCTTATCTACTATAATTTTCAAGAAAATAATCAAAATCTAAAATTTCCTAATAAATAACTACTTCTAACAGTAACCCAACAATAAATTCTCCAAATTCTCCAATTGGCATGAAAATTTCATAATAGATAAATATTTACCTAATCATCACTCTAACTCTCTTTCACGTTTGCTCTATAACTGCTTTAGTTTTTGAGATGTAAGCCGAAAACTGCATTTGACCCCTATGTTTTATTTTTAGCCATGGCAGCCATGTTTGTTGATAGATCAAAACTATGAATACAATTTATAAACTAGATACCCAAAGGAACATTCATTTAAAGTTTGAAGGTATTTGGCCCATTAGTTTCAGAGGAGAAGATTTTTGAAATAGTAAGACAAAAAATTACCAATTTAGTGGCAGCAACCCAACAATGGTTTGTTTGATTTGTTTGAAAATTTCAGGGCTGGTAGATGTTGACCTGTTTAACATTTTTACCCCCTGTCAGATTTGCTCTAAATGCTTTACTTTTTGAGATATAAGCCAAAAACTGCATTTGACCCCTATGTTCTATTTTTAGTCATGGCGGCCATGTTTGTTGATGGATCAAAATTTCGGATACAATTTATAAACTAGATACCCTAAGGAACATTCATTTAAAGTTTGAAGGTATTTGGCCCAGAAGTTTCAGAGGAGAAGATTTTTTAAATAGTTTACGACGACAGATGATGGACGCAAAGTGATGGCATAAGCTCACATGGGACCCTTCGGGCCCGGTGAGCTAATAATGTCAAATATGAAAATTGCCATAAACACAGCTGTCAATTTTTCAGACGTCAATAGGAGAAATGTCTGAGAAATTTTTGCCGTTAAACTATAAATGTTTTAAAACATTTATACATTCAAGAGTCCCGTTCCCACTTTCATCATGTTTAGTAGGGTGAACGGTGAAATCTGTGTCAAAACTGTATGGCTAGTTTAGCATATATTTTGAAAAGCTCACATTGTAGTGAACATGAATTTTAATTTGATGTGACTATGACTTGACAACAAACTTCCTTAAACCAATATGTTAACCTGAGAATGTACTGATTTCACACTATCACATTTCCATGTTTGGTGAAGCACAAACCCTGGCTTTGCTTTGCCACAGGTGACAACATAAAGAAATCACTTTTATTTCTATCAATATAATAAAAATTACAATAGGAAAAATATTTTTATTTTGTTAAAGGCCTTCTATGGCTGAGCTGATCAAATTGAAACTAGCAAAAGCAAGAAACAAAATACATGTTTGTCTAACATAACACATACAAACTGTTTTTGTAGAAAATAACAAGAACAATTTTCCACAACAAATTTCTGTTTTATAACCTGTAGTTATCATACATGACAGTTTTAAGCTGTACTCAAATAGGTCAATGGATAAAAAAAATCAAGGGCAAAATCACCTTTTCTCTTAGTCTTTCTAACTCCCATTCACTGACAGATTCTTCGTCTTCATCCTCTTCTTCTTCTACAGAGAATTCAGAGCCTCTGACAATGGGAGAAACACCAATAGGTGGACTGACATTATCCACACAATCTATATCTTCCTAAAATATGAAAAAATATTGTAAGAAATAATGGACTTATCATTTCAAACTAAAAGCCTACCATAACAGTATGAAACAAATGTACTTTGAGGTATGCTCACACATGTACCTAACCCATGCAAATAACCATTCAATTAAATAAGAAAAAAACAGTTTTATCTAGCTATATATCTCTTTTCATTCAGAATTTAGAAACCCTTAAAAAACATTTAAAGTTTAAAAAACACACATGACACTTTCCAACAATTTTTCTTGTCTCAACTTGAATCTAGATGGTAACACCAGAAACTATTTGGAAAAAGCTGTTTTTGTGTAAAATCTTGATACATCTCTGTGTTTAAATGCCAACCTTTTTTAACCTGATGATTTAGTTTATAGAGTTAACTGCTCTATTCATCATTATTACTTCACAAAATCAGTTTTCATATGTGGTCTGCAGGATATTTTAGGAAGATGATAATCCAGATAAGCCGCTTTGAACAACAAGTAACTTTTCATCAATTTTTTATCTGCTATTATAGGATTTTATAAATCTTACATCTGAATCCCACTCTGAATCTTCATCCTCTTCATCCTCTGGTTGATCTTGATCCTGATCCTTTGTCACCTGTATTACAGTATTTTTAGATGAATGGCTATCAGTTGTTACATAGCTGATATGAGAACCTCCAGTATGGTTCAATGCATCAACAGTCTCTTCCATAACTTCCTGTTGTGGTTCTTCTACAACTTCCTTGTGTACTGGTACCTGTACTGGTACCTCTGCTTCCTCATCAAAATCATCATCCTCTTCATCTTCATCTACCCCTACCACTATTGCAGAAGTTGTCAACTAAAATAGGGAACAACATCTTTTATAAAGTGAGACAAAAATCCCCAATGATTAAACAATTATCGATAAAATTAAAAGACAATAAAATATTGAATTGTTAATCTCTACATCTACATTAATTCAGGCAGACCATAGTAATTTTCTGTTGTCTGTTCTCTCTGTTTAGGGCATACAATACAGTTACAGAGGAAGTAATGACGTTGCTAACGTAAATTGTTATGTTCGCAACGTCAAACAGTGACTTATCTGGAAAAGATGCAGTTTTCGACTGATTTTTATCATTCAAACTGATTGAACTTGAAAACGAGTTCATGGACCCTTTTTTTTTAAAATGACATTTGGTTTGATTACATACGAAGATTATGTGTACCAATTTTCATGAAAAAGTCAATAGTGCAATTATTTCAAATTTGATAAATATACAGCAAAAAATGACGTTTTTTTTCTACATTTATGAACATTTGATAAATATGAGTTATTTGTAAAAATAAAATGTACAAATTTATAGAACATTTATATAAAACAGAAATTACAAATAATTTAACAAAAAACAGCTTGTGTTTATCTTTTAAAACAAAAAAGTTATGTATTTCTGTCGAAAGGAAAACTACGTCCACAAATCCGAATTTTGAGGAAATATCTGAAATTTCAACCTGAATTTACTCAAAAAGTAGCATATGATGGTATATTTTTTATTGCACATTTGATTTAATCAGGTAAAAAAAAGCCTATATGCAAATTTTCATCAAAATTTCATTACGGGATCAAAACTGTATCGTATGCCCTTAACTAATCTCTCTCAATTAATTATGGTATAAAATCTGGTTATATTTATATTGTTATACTGTAATCTTACTTCAAGTTATACACCTGAGTTGCAACATTTTATGATGTATGTACATATTCTATTATTGATATAATTTTTAATATGGTACAAACACACTAAACCTTTTAAATATCATAGTACTGTTTTCTTTAAAATATACCAACCCACTCATTATCAAAGCTTAAAAACAGATATTTTTATCAGAAGCATCACAAGATTCATTCAATTAACAGATATAACTTGAGATACTAACCCTGGATGGAGGCCCTCTAGGTGTGGCAGCATCATTAGAGGAATCCCAATTACTACCTCCTGACTGTAATAAGAAAAATAAAACTTTATATAATGCAGTTTTGGTTACAGATTAACGTTTATCACAATTCTCTTTTTAATATAATTTAATGTAATTTAAAGGATAAATATACATTTCCCCCTTTTTAACATATTTCAATGCAATTCAAAAAATACAAATTCATGCAATAACAAGTTGCATAGTTTAGTCTTTTTGTACAGTGTTGTTCCACAGAACTTTAATACATTCCATTCTAGCACATACAAATATAGATATAATTTTCTCCAAAAACAGAAGTTTAGGGTTAGCTCAAACAATTATGAGCAGTCAGTTGACTATAAACATATATCTTTTATTTGATCATGTTGACTTCATTGAAAATTTGTACTTATATTTGATTGATTTTTAAATCCTGATAATTAAACATTTTAATTCTTAATGTATCCCCTTATCAGAATTTTTTGTCAAACAAATAAAATCCTTAAAATCACAAAAATCATAAAAATACACAATATATGAAACCTCGACCAGTTGCAGCAAAGAAGATGTAATGTGTGTGTGTGTGTGTGTATGTCATATGTGTGCTGAAACTGGAATGGTGGATCATAAACTGAAAATGCATAGAAATAAAGTAAATAATTAAGTTTATACATCATCTTCTGAAACAAGACAACATTAAGTTTTGTACAGTTCACAAATCTGGTGAATTTCCAGTGACAGTTCAAAATGATTACAGATGAAAGAACCTTAGTGAGCGCGCTCACATACCCCACGTCCCCACATTGTCATTGGAGAAATAAAATAAGTGTAAGAAAAAAAAATTGTATAAAAAAAAAATATTGAATCATAATTTCCTGTCAATATGCACATCTACGTAGTATGTCCTTATTATCTGAAAAAGTTTCATGAAATTCTGTTGTGTGGTTTGAGAGGAGTTGCGATGACAAACTGTTGTAGAAGTACATTAAAGTAAATAAGTTCAAAGGGGCGTAACTCCTAGAAAAAGAATTGAATCGTAATTTCCTGTTGATATGCACAACTACATAGTATGTCCTTATTATCTAAAAAGGTTTCGTGAAATTCTGTTGTGTGGTTTGAGAGGAGTTGCGATGACAAAAGGTTGCAGTAGTATATTGGACAAATAAGTTCAAAGGGGCGTAACTCCTGAAAAAAAAATTGAATCCTGATTTCCTGTCGATATGCACATCTACATAGTATGTCCTTATTATCTGAAAAGGTTTCATGAAATTCTGTTGTGTGGTTTGAGAGGAGTTGAGATGACAAACTGTTGCAGTAGTACATTAAAGTAAATAAGTTCAAAGGGGCGTAACTCCTAGAAAAAGAATTGAATCATAATTTCCTGTCGATATGCACAACTACATAGTATGTCCTTATTATCTAAAAAGGTTTCGTGAAATTCTGTTGTGTGGTTTGAGAGGAGTTGCGATGACAAAAGGTTGCAGTACTATATTGGGCAAATAAGTTCAAAGGGGCGTAACTCCTGGGAAAAAAAATTGAATCGTGATTTCCTGTCTATATGCACATCTACGTAGTATGTCCTTATTATCTGAAAAGGTTTCATGAAATTCTGTTGTGTGGTTTGAGAGGAGTTGCGATGACAAACTGCTGCAGTAGTATATTGGGCAAATAAGTTCAAAGGGGCGTAACTCCTGGAAAAAGAATTGAATCGTAGTTTCCTGTCGATATGCACAACTACATAGTATGTCCTTATTATATAAAAAGGTTTCGTGAAATTCGGTTGTGTGGTTTGAGAGGAGTTGCGATGACAAGAAACAGGACTGACGGACGGACAGACGGACAGACGGATAGAAAGACGGGTCAAAAACATTATTCCCTCCGCAACTCGTTGCGTGGGGTATAATAAAGAAAAAGATATTTCCATTTCACTGGAAACCAGTGATAAACATGTGTCCAGTACTCAGTGGAGTGTCAAGAGACAATATCCAGAGACCAGTGATAAACATGTGTCCAGTATTAAGTGGAGTGTGAACAGACAACATCCAGTGACCAGTGATAAACCTGGGTCCAGTATTGAGTGGAGTGTGAACAGACAACACCCAGAAACCAGTGATAAACATGTGTCCAGTACTAAGTGAAATATGAACACACAAAATCCAGAAACCAGTGATAAACATGTGTCCAGTACTTAGTGGAGTGTGAACAGACAACATCCAGAAACTAGTGATAAACATGTGTCCAGTACTCAGTGGAATGTGAACAATCAACATTCAGAAACCAGTGATAAACATGTGTCAAGTACTGAGTGGAGTGTTAACAGACATCCAGAAACCAGTGATAAACATGTGTCCAGTATTATGTGGAGTGTTAAAAGACAACATCCAGAGACCAGTGATAAAATGTCTCCAGTATTGAGTGGAGTGTTAACAGACAACATCCAGAGACCAGTGATAAACATGTGTCCAGTATTAAGTGGAGTGTTAACAGACAACATCCAGAAACCAGTGATAAACATGTGTCAAGTACTGAGTGGAATGTTAACAGACAACATCCAGAAACCAGTGATAAACATGTGTCAAGTACTGAGTGGAATGTTAACAGACAACATCCAGAAACTAGTGATTAACATGTGTCCAGTATTAAGTGGAGTGACAGACAACATCCAGAAACCAGTGATAAACATGTGTCCAATATTAAGTGGAGTGTGAACAGACAACATTCAGAAACCAGTGATTAACATGTGTCCAGTATTGAGTGGAGTGTGAACAGACTACATCTAGAAACCAGTGATAAACATGTGTCCAGTATTAAGTGGAGTGTTAACAGACAACATCCAGAAACCAGTGATAAACATGTGTCCAGTACTGAGTGGAGTGTGAACAGAGACAATATATAAACACCTCAGAATGTCCTCCAATGTTCTGTGAAATACTCTGCTCAACAAACTCTTCGACTGCCTCCTGTCTTCCTATAAAGGATGGCCTTTGACTTTCCAATTCTTCCTGGTTCTTTATACTGGAGGAATCATGATCTTCATCATGAACATCAAGGTCAAACCCTTGTGATTCTCGACCTTCATCTAAAACCAGGTTAAACTCTTTTGATGGTTGACCTTCATCTTGACCTTCCCCAGGTGATGGTAAAATTTGTTTGACTGAGTGGCTGATGTCCTCTTTATAAGACAAACTTTTGTCATCTTCTGCTTTGAATACTTCAGCAACTTCACTGTCTACTTCCTGATCTTCATCATCATGTAATTCAATTGGTGACATACCAACTCCCTGAATACTCCCATCCTCCCCGATTTCAAACATTTTATTACCATCCACTTGTTCATCTGCTGTATTGAAACCGTCAGTGTCTGAATCCCAAGAATCTGTCCTATCAAAATCAATGATATTCTGCTGTTCGTCCTCACTTTCCTCAATCATAGCTTTTGGTGTTTCTTTTTCCAATGAAACCGGAGTTTTGGGAATATTATCCTCTGTTAAATCTTGAGTCTCTCTTATAACTATTGGTGAATCACCTATACCACTCACACTACCATCTCCATGGACTTCATATCTCTTTCCAAGATGTCTAGGACTCTCCTGATCAATATTCATCCCTTCTTTTATGTCTTTTTTCTGAATATTCAATGCATAAACATATTACCAATTTCCCATATTTTTTCTTTTATAGTCATCTAAATATAGCTGAATTTGTATTTTGAAAAAGCAGGTACGAAATAATAATGTAAGTATAAATAAATGTGGAAAATTTGCTTTTTTCATTAATAAGCATCAAATAAGCAGAATCAATAAATATAAACAGGTAAACTTCTATATAATCTAAAGTTCAGGTGGATTCTGCTTTCTCAGTACAGAGATTCAAATTAAGGTAGGTGGGAGGTCTTGGACCTGTCTTTTCTGAAAGGGAACCCTTTACTTTTTAATTACAAATGTCCAGGACCTCCCATCATTTAAATTGATGCTTAATATAGAACCTATAAATTTCTCAAGAAGGTCTTTCAATTGAAAGCTCAAATGGTCCTGGACCTTTAATTCTTTAATGCAAATTTGAAGCCCAGAGTACTGAGGATTGAACTGATATCCACTCATCATATGGGATGGGTATGCTTTACACAGAATTTACTTTTGAATTAATTTTGAGAGAAACACTATGAAGGATATGTTCTTTTTTAAAGGCATCATATATTAATCTAAAAAAAAAAACTTAATAACACATTCTTCAAATGATTGCTGACCATTTGTTGGTGAATTTTTAAAGTTTAGTAACATCTATTCCAAGATAAGGTTGATGTTTAAGCCCTTTCATGCAATTGATAATAGAATGGTAGCAGTAGTATGAAGATGGAAAACTTGATTTTGATCTCTGTTGGCAGCTGAAAAAACAAAATCCACAGTAGCTCTAGTGACATTTAAAAATCAATAAAAGAATAAAAGAACAAAATTCTGTCTCCTACCTTTTTAGGATCAAGCATGTCCTCTACATCACTATCCCATTCTGATGTCTGAAAATAAAACAACAATTCCCTTTATGTCATACACAATAAATTATCTGGTCTTAAGATTCCACTCTGGAAACTATTTACTCTGGTCAATATTGTCAACAACAAAATTTAACACAGTATTCCTAAAATCTCTGTCAGTTTAAAAGATAAGGAGAAGTCATACTAAAATCAAAAGTGCTTGTAAGCAATGAAAGGGTAGATATTGCTTTCATCTTGCAATTTTGTGAATTCAAAATAAAATATTGAATTGTTATTAACTAGGCAAATTATAAATTTGAGTTGCAGTCATCTTCCTTTGTTCATGATTGTACATTGTAGTTGAGCCTATTTTTATAACAGATTCATATGCCATGCACTGACTGGATAGGATCTAAAGAATGATCACTTCAGTGCACTATTTTGTTTGAACTATCAAAGGTAGTGATAAACCTTGGAAGTTTTAAATATCAAGTCAGTACCATAGGGTTTTGATTGCATTTTATGCAAACTTTACCCAAAAACCTTGAGTTTTCTTTAGAAAATCACTAGCAGTGATGTCAAAATTGCATTATTAAAAATTTCCCAGAAAGTAATAATAATTAACAACTAAAAATAAATCAGAACTAATTTTTTTTTTATTGATACTTCTATTTATGTTACTTTACTCTTAATCACATTTCCACTAATGAACTTTGTATTTCATAACATTTTAAAAAAAATAATTTTAATTCATAAATAGTTTTAAAAAAATAAATTCCTACCAGTATAAGGATTAAGTTTTATAATTCAACTTAAATTTTCTAATGTTTATCAAATTTTATATTCCCTCGTAAGTAAATGTATGCTTTGACAAAGGGTATTTTGAAGTTTTGCTGTATTAATTTCATTTTCATTACAAATCTATACACAGTTTACATACTTCTTCATCAGATCTTGGAGATAGTGGTTGTTTCTTTGGCTGTATTTGTTGTTGTGTTTCTCCTTCATACTGAAATGAACATCATTATATCATACAATAAAAGAACAGCTTAAATGTTCAGGCAGCAATTTCTGGTAATATATTTTTTTCTTCATGTATATATGTTTCCTAGTCATATTTTAAAATTTTCACAATTTTGAGCCAATTACCATGAGCATTTCTTTTTTTTTTTAAATGACATTTTAGACATAATGTTTTCAAGTTCTTGCTATTTCTGTTACATTTTTCATACAGCTTGTCATCAAATTCATTCTGTAAAATTTGTATAAGCATCTAAACAAATTTATTTTCAAGCCAATAAAAGCTTTTATTTCAAAACAAGCAAAAGGATCTTTATTCTAAGGCCATGGACATTAATTTTTTCGGTTCTCAGATACCACAATGTCAGCAAATGTTAACATTCATCGATCACAGACAAAAATGTGTTCTAATCAAGCATGATAATTCAAAGAATAAAAGTGGAGGTTTACAGTTATAGACTGGTTAACAGACTTATATAAATAAGAAGATATGGTATGAGTGCCAATGAGACAACTCTCCATCTATGTCACAATGTATAAAAAGTTAACAATTATAGGTCAAAGTATGGCCTTCAACACTAGTTTATTTTTAGTTTTTTTAGGTTACATTAGACTCTGGGGAATCAAGAAACTATAATAATGGTGTTCTATAATTCAGGAGATTGAGAGATAGATCCAACAATACTAACCTGTCTATTAGAAGTTTTCAGTATACTCTTTTGTGTTCTAGGAGTTATACCAGGCTCTGTTGAATCCCAGTCACTGTCATGCTGTTTACTCTGTGTCGGGGGGTTCTCTGGCGGTTTAGGAGCAGTCTCTATAGGTTCAGACATTTCAGAAATGTCAGGTGTAGATGTGAAGTCATCAACATCATCATCTTCTAGCCCAATGTCCTTCATAAAATCTGAATGATATTGAGAAAACATAAATTTCATTTGGTTATAAAAGGCATTAAATCAGTAATTTTGAAAAATTAAATGAAAACTGTTATAGTATTATTCAGCATATAAATAATGTCTAGATATTTATAGAGACAAGATTTTTCATCAAATAAATAATAACTCAAATATCAATTTAGGATTCATATATAAGATTTAATTGTTTATTCTTTAAACTAACATTTGTTCAATAATACTGCACTAAATTTTAAACTGATATTGAAACATTAACATCTTCATACACGTGCTTAATAATAAATATAAGCATATACACTTTTAAATACCAATTTTTATGTAAAATGCTAAATATTTGAACTTATACTGAAATAGTAGATTGAAAAATAAAGAGTGTACAATTCTAATCTAAAGTTCTAAACTTCTATGTGAAAAAGGGTGAGAATATGCCTTTAGCTTCAGTAGTTTCAAAACCTTTTTTTACTTATTATCAAATTGTTTTCTTCAACTTATAGAGATCTATAAAGCAAACTTTCACATTACTTTTTTGTCTAGAAGACTAACATTTTATCCTTTTTTGAATATTTTATTAAAATAAAACACATACGAGATCAGAAGACCATAAAATCAGTTCCACTTCAGTTTTTTCATCATTTTTCATATCTTTAGAAAAAGTAGGACCCCTTGCACACATGATGAAAAATCAAAATGGCATACATATTAGAAAATATTTCTCCAAAAATACCTGCTACAGTTTTCCTGAAATATTTTCTGAAATAACACCTAGTTAGGAAAATATTTTCGTCAGATTTTTACACATTTAATGGAAGCAGCACATTTTTCATACAATCAATTTCTTAAAAAAAAAAACCTCATAGGCAGAGGTTCTTTCAAGTTCAATAATGATAGTAGTATTGTTAAATAAGGTAAGGCAGAGGTTCTTTGCAGTTCAGAAATGCTTTAAATCAACATGAAACCACCAATGGTAAAAAGGTATTACCAGGTACCATTAATTAAAATTATCAACACATGTGGTAAAATGAGATGACTTGCCAAAAGATACATTTACAAATCTTAAATACCATCCCAACCATGACATTTAATCCTATGAATAATTTCATTTTTCAATAATTCTTTTCAATAACTCTATGTTTTTTTTCCATACACTATATAGTTCCATCTAACTGCTTTTTAAAGTCATCATTAACTAATCTACCATAAAAATGTAAAAATATTTAGTGAAAATATTGGCAAACTGATGGAAAATTCAGCAGCATGAAATGATGTTAGAAATGTTAAAGGAGAAAAAGAAAATGATGAGAGAAAGATAAGGCAGTGAACACTCGTACAACATACCGGTACCATTGGCATACTCATTTTCAACTGTAAACAATAACAACATGCTAAAATGTGCTTATAAACAACAACATGCCGGTGGAATCCTTCCCACTTCTCTGCTCGGGGTAACAAAATATTTACTGTGGTTTTGTAACTTATGCAGTGTTCTGGCCAACAAACATAATACACAGTAATTGGGATACTGCAGCAGTTTATATCAATGATGTAATAAGTGAAAGTGTAAAAGCAATAGGTGTGGTTCTATCACAGGATGCCTCAAGGTTCGATAAGTTTCTCAACCTAATCCTTGTATTCTTGCATTAGGTCAATTTAAGTAACATTTTATCAAGAACCAAAAAAAAAAAGTTTTGAGGAAAAATTTTCAAAAAACTTGTGGTTATCTCATGCAAATACAATTGTATTCAACAAACATTTTTTTACAAATATTGCTCAATAAAATCTAAATTAAGAAGACAAGCTCCAAGAAATCATTGCTTTTAAATACAGGTACTTTTATTGTCGATTCAAGAAATAAATCATACTTTTTACACCAGATTTCACAGTCTAGTAAAAAAGCAGATTAGCCTCTTGAGTTAAAAATAATGCAAAGAATTTGATTTACACTTTGGTTGGGACTTTAATCAGATTTCAACAGAAGACTTCATATTTTTCTGAGTAACTATACCCTAACAGTGCTAATAAGTCATTTCATTTTTGTCTTTAGTGCCTGCTAATCTACAATACATATAACACACTAATAATAATCTATCACATATAACTGTTTTACAATGGTGTTCAACAAACAAAACTAAAAAAAAACAAACTAGCAAAATACAACACAAAGTTACTAAAATCCACTGTTTTTTAAAGTATCATATTCTAAAGCCTTTAAATTTTTGTATCAAAAGTCAAATTGAAAATAATGCAATCTACTTAAAGGCTATTCAGAAATTTAAGAAATTTCAGACTAAACAGTGTGCATTTAGTATCTTCATAATAAACTAAGGTTCTTGTAGTAACATTACCCCTGTTTTTTCCTTTACAAACAAGACATATGAAGAACAATTTTAGTTTCATGCATAAAGTACATAATACTTGTCCCAAGGACTAGTTATAACACAGAAAGTACACAAAACTGATCTCAGGTAATCATTATGCTTATTATTTCACATATTAGTAATGCATGCTAAAAGTTCATTCTATCTTTATTCCAATTTAAAGATTGAGTTTGTGTGGTTGCATTTCAGCCCACTGCAAGTACTGTTACAGTTCTATCGATCTCCATATGTATACTGTATGCAGTATTTTAACTATATAAAACACTCTTATATTACACTGAATCAAATTATATGATGCTAAATGTTATTTCTTCATCAAATGCTTAAATCCACAGAAATAAATTTAAAAACATGAAAGTAAAGTTATTTTTCTTTATGTTACCTCTGAGTTTCTGTTGGCTCAGTTCATCATTAGCAACCCCTGTTAATCCTGTTGGTGTGTATCCAGAATTCTGGGGAAAATCAATAGGTTTCAATCAGTGATAAAAATTATTTTCATTATTTAATTATAATGGATAAATACCATTAGCATAAATTTTTCCAACTGAAAATCATGAAATACTAGTACTGTTTTTACTGTGCAAATTACATTTACTGGTTTAAATGAAACAATTATATACACTAATTTTTTTTATCATTAAGGTAGATGGGGTGTCTAAATTGTAATCCATAGACTTTTTTAATAATTTGCCAAAATGTAGTTTATATCAAGCTTTTTAAAAAAAAATGATAAAAAGAATGGGTCACGGGGCTTATTTTCACGCTACAGGTTGTTCAAAATTAACAGATTTTGTATAGATTATGCATGGAAAACCCAATTTTCTGCCATAAAACGAAAACTACACCATAGAATTTTGAGATAAAATATGAGAAGATAGCTTTAATATTATGCTTTCAGATAAGAAAAAGAAAAAATGGGGTCACCGGACTCGTTTTCTTGCTACATAATAAAATAGGTAAATTCCTAACACATTCTATTGTAAAAGTACCTTGTTCTGAATTATCTGCCCTTACAGTTGAGTTGCCTCCCCTTATGTGGCAAAGTTGGAAAAAATTGAATCAAACAAAAGTTTTCTGTTTTTTGTAAAATACAACCATAAATATGATAAAACATGTTATTTTCTATATTGAAATGAAAATTGTTACACATGAATTACCTACTACTCTCAAAATTTGCACATTCTATTAAAGATCCAGACCGATTGTTTTCAGGTATTACAAAATCCAAGATGGAGGAAGACACCCTATCTACCTTAATCAATATTATAATTTCAGATATTTTAAGTATTTCCCAGTGTAAATATTTCATAAAAATTATTTTTTGGAGAAAACCTCTGTGATTAAAGACACATAAATCCATACATAATTTTTCAGTTGTAAGTTACCTGCTGTTGTTGAAATGTGTGGTCATATTTTGGTCGTTTGGCCTCTGACCCTTGGTATTCCCCACCATCGTCAGTTTCACTTTCTGTTGCAGTCTGAAATAAATATATAAAATGCGTAGTGGTACCCAGACCATATTATTAGATAACTCATAGCTCAGTTCTGAATAGAATAGCAATGCAACAACAAATTTCTGCAACAAAAACACAGGTTTAATCATTCTTTATAGCATAATTCCATATTCTAAAGAAAAGAAATTATAAACTGTTATCACAGAGATATGTCTCGCCTTTTTGTAATTTTGATAATGCAAATGTTGAAATTAAAATAGCAATACTTTAACATCAATACTTTAACATGTTAGTTATGCAAATATTCAAAGTCGATGAACCATGACTGAAGGTACATGGCTAAACAATCTCCATTGAATGAGATGTGCCAATGCTAATACAACTGCATACCAAATACCATTGACTTACTATAAGTCGTTCCCTTTAAACAAACCTAAACACAAACATTAACTTGTAAACTATGTAAAAGTTTCAAAGTCAATGAACCATGATCAGGGGTGGGGCTATATAATCTCCATGGAAACGATACTTGCAAATGCCAATACATTTGCATACCAAATATCATTGACTTAACATTAGCAGTTCATCTTAAACTGATCTAATCACAAACTAATACATGTGAACTAACCAAAAGTTTCAAAGTCAATAGACCATGACTGAGGGGGCGGGGCCAAATATTCTCCATGGAAATGAGATGTGCTAATGCTTATACAACTGAACACCAATTAACATTGGCCTACCACTAATGGTTCCCATTGAACTGACCTAATCACAAACTAATACATGTTAACTTAGCAAAATTTTCAAAGTCTATAGACCATGACTAAGGGGGCAGAGCTAAATAATCTCCATGGAAATGAGATATGCCAATGATTATACAACTGCATACAAAATATCATTGACCTACCACTAGTGGTTCCCCATAAATTGACCTAATCACAAACTAATACATGTAAACTATGAAAAGTTTCAAAGTCAATAGACCTTGACTGAGGGGGCGGGGCCAAATTATCTCCATGGTAATGAGATGTGCCAATGCTAATACAACTGCATACCAAATATCATTGACCTACCACTAGTGGTTCACCATGAACTAGACCTAATTACAAACTAATACATTGTTGACGCCACCGCCCCTGCCGGAAACAGCATACCTATGTCTCGCTTTTTGAATCCATCAAGGCGAGACAAAAACTATGCAGTGTTCTCCCCAGGATTTTTGGATAGCACCAGGGTTACGCGTGTGAACAGCTTGGTGAAATGATTCAAACAATCAGTTGTGTCGCGTTGCGTCGCTATATTTCTAGTTACTGCATTTTTTATGTCTCTTGTTTAGTTTTAATACTGTGGTACTGTGTTATGTCAGAATATTATTGGTTAAAAAGATCAATAAACAGTTTGTATACTTTTAATATTCTTTAAAAATAAATAAAACATGATTCATTACATAATATTCATCTAAATTTAAAGTAATTAAATTTTTTTTTAAATCCATGATCAATAAAAATAAAATATCATTCAAACAGGAACATATAAATTGTTAGATATACTGTTCCCAGATTCAAAAGAGAACAAAAATGTTCAATTTAAAAAACTTTCTAGTTTCTAGAAAGAAAGTTGTTGTATGTGAAAGGATTCCTGTCATAAGGAGATTTAAAATTAACAAGAACAAAATTGTGTAATAATTTGAACCAGTTTCTATCTTAAATTTTAATAAAAAGAAATTTTTCATAAATTTTAAAACATTTTGCCATAGATTTCATAAACATGTAAATATTAATCTTTCTTGTGTTTGGTGATAATCAAACATAGATACAGACTTAATACTGCACTGAAATCTAAATCTTTATTTGTCATGATCCATTTAAAAAGAATTCCTAAATCTATAAATTTATCTTAGGTCTAAAGATCTAGAAGTAGCATATTCAATGTCAACAACAAAGTCTCCCTATTTTCCCGCCTAAATAACAGGAAGTAGATATAAATAGATTTAACATGTGCTTATGGATTAAAATTGCAAGCTCACTTCTGTTATTCATTAATGATCATATGGATATATATATCCAGTTTGAAGGTACAGTCATGCATTTTATTTATAAAATAGAATAGATTGCAGTTAATTGTAAATAATCTTGAATATTCTACGTGAACTAACTGGGTCATTTGATCCTTCCCCTTTGAATTACTTGTTGACAGTTTGAAATCGGAATATCATGCAATAACTATGTCATAATTAAAGATAATTTTGGCCATGGCTTAATCAGAGACATATAAAACTATAATATAAGTATTGAGCTAACTTTATAATGTACAAAATATGTACCGTCATGTGTACAACTATCGGGTCAACACCGTTTGTTTACAAAGTATTTGCCGACTTGTCAGGTGATGAGTGAAGCCTTAAAATAGTTATCTTTGATCATAAAGTTATCATCTCTAAATTAAAACACAAAAGAATCATGTAAAAAGTGTTAATTACATCGATTAAATCCAATCAACAAAGGTTAACCTCATAAAGGTAAATCGATCACGTGGTGTAAACAATCCGTGTTGAACTGGTTTGGACTGGTCAAATTTCACCTGGAATTTTATACCGCACGGAAAAGATTTAACAAGTCGTTTAAAACTTTACCGATTTACGATTTTTTAACTGAAAATTTTAGCACCACGGAGAAAAATTATACATCGCGGTAAGAACGATACCACCACGGTGAAAAATTATACATCGCAGGCCCGCGGTCCTTTACGGGCCTGGGGAGAACACTGCTATGTACACGATTGTTGATGACTTTGGCACATAAATGTCTATGAAACAACATGACCTCACATACACATTTAAAGTGTAAATCATTAATTTTTCTTTTATCTTTATGTATGTTTCTAATAAGGATTATATCAGGGAGAATCATAGTCTTTAAGATAGGCATTTTTATTAATTAATGCATTATTGTCACATAGAATAGTCTCAACCAATCAAATATCTATTTGCCTATGATCTTTACAAAAGTTAAACACCATTATTATTTTTCAATAACTTTTATAAAATATACATATAATTGCAAAAGATGATCAAATCTAAGCTTGAATGACATACAGTTGGTTGTTTGGTGGTGTTAGTCTAAGGTTATCTGTACAGGTACATGTCGTTCAATTCAATGCTAACAGTCGATTCATATCCCATACTTCCTTATTCCTACTATAACAATGTCTTAACTACAATAGACAAATAACTTACAATTTCATGGATTTCTGATACATCTTTATCTATAAATGAAACTTTGGATGAAGATGATTTTCTAGGTGTGTTGACAGGAGAATTCTCATCTTCGTCTGACCATTCAATTTCCGCCGAGGTTACTGATTGGATAGATTTGGCAGACAGTCTTTTGACAGGTATGTCATGCCCTTCACTGTCACCTTCTTTATCTGTTTGGAATAAGAAATGGGTTAAAATCTAATGAGGGAATTACAAAATATATTCAATCAAACTTTGGATAAAAGGAATGGGTTTCTACATATATTTCTTTTCAACATTTGGTTATATTTCATTGTTTTGTCCATCCTTAGTCTTTAAACCGAAATGTCTATTCAATGCTAGATCATAAATTAGAGTCAAGAGATTTACAACTTGCAAATCAACATTAAGTTGTAGACAGGAACAACAAATGAATCAATTGAAATTTTTCATATATAGTTCAAAACATTTCTCTTTTAACAAGACCACATAAACATTTCTAATACCAGTTGTCATTGTTGTTTAATTGCACTTTTTAACACAGTAAACATTTTCTCTCAAATGATAATTTATTGAGTGTGGATAAAAGAGGGTCTTATTTCAGCAATAAATCTGTATATATATTTGAGAATTTTACAGCAGTTTATTTTTTCAGGTAGCTTCTTCAAACCTTGATAATCCCATCAATTTTACTATGTAAATTCTACCATACTTCAATTTACTGTTTGACTTTGACCCCCCAAAAAGAGTAACAGCAACAATCAGAAACAGCACTACTCAAGTTCAGCTTCCATTCTTCCAATAACATTCCAGCAAACACTAATAAAGCCAGACTAACCAGCATACAAACAAAGTGTAAACATACAAACTCATTAGACAGCAGATGTCAAGAAAAAAGTAAACATATCCATAGCCCAATGCTCTGTTAAAAAGTTTTCTAAATACTATAGTCTAAGAAAAAATGTCAAATGACATGTTGCTGTAAATCAGGGTGTACACAATGTAATTTTATGCTACAAAATATGCTACAAAACATGAAAAACTTGTGACTGCAAAACACTAATTCACTAATTTTCTATGCACATTTGTGAATCAAGATGCTGTTCAAGTATTGGTCTTTTTTTCATATTCAAATTCCACGAGTACCTTTCCTTCAAACTTCACAAAATAAAATATATAACTGGAGTTATTGTCTATTCATACCTAAATAATTATAATGTTAGTCCTTACTGATTATTGATTTCTTTTACTTTTATACCATAAACTCTTCTGCAATTTTTATTTAAAAAACAGAACAAACTCTTCTTTGAATACTATATATACAATGGAAAATATGTTCCTGACTTTTCTAACTTAGCATAAAATAGCACTTAAAAGAAAGATGATGAATAAAAAAAAAATGTGTGAATACCCTTAGAGGCTTCGTTTCTTGTAACTTCTCAGCAAAAATAACAGAAAGATAAAAAATAATAAAGGTTTTTTTTTCTTAGTTTGAAAATTAAGCTAATAGAGATGTACATATATTATGTACATATATTGTATTTGAAATCAGGATTCTGAATTATTGAACATGCCAGCCTTTTTTCTTCTCTGTGGTCCTTTTAACAATAAAAAATACAAGCAATAAAAACAAAGGAATAAAATTCAAATCACTGAAGGTTGTTAAGTCAGGAAGATTTGTTAATGTGGCAGACACACACCAAGGGGCAGACAACTCATGTTACCTGAAAATGAACTGTTCTTTCTCAAACAGGAACGAAGTGCTAAAGATAAGACATGACTTACTTTAAATATAATTTTTAACTTTAAATATACATAAAAATGAGTAAAAATACAGAAATTACTATTTTCTATTCTTCACTGTGTTAAAAGTCAAACCTTGTTTAACAGAATAATTCAACTCCTAAATCAATGGTGTTTTCTCACAATACAATGTATCACAGAAAATCCTGCTTATATTTCAATGATGGTTTGATTTCATTTTCCAAACATCAAAGAACTAATGGTTTTTTGTTGAATAAATTGATCTTGATTTTTGGCTCGATGGAAAAAAAAACAACCCAATAAAATCCAGTAAAAATTCCATTATCAAAGATTTAAACATCCATCATCTCTTCATTCACTCAAATGAGGAAAAAAATTCACTAAAACAAGATTTGACTAAAAAAACTAAATTAAAAAATTGGCAGGCACATAAATTATTTGAACATGCTGTAAGACAAAATAATACAATACCTTCATTATCTGAAGCATCACTTCCAGTAGTAATACGATTCAATGCTTTGGCAAGATTTACTTTTGGCGTTGCACCCTATAAAGATAAAAAATATATCAATATAACATCAAATCATTCACAAAATTAGTATAAAGTGATTTTCTCAGGTCCTTTCATATGCAACTTTTCAAATAATTGATGCATGTTAACCTTAGTATATATAACATTCTTTTTTGCAGGAAAATTCAGTAGTATGGCATGCAAATTATTGATTAATCCCTCAAATGTTCCTTCAAAGACACATGTGGACATCCAACAGTACCCCTGAAGTAGTAGATGTCCATTTGAGAATAATGCAAACATTAATTTTAGGGAAGACTACAAATGAATTGTTTTGGTACTTCAGTTGACAATATGGGAATTTGGATCTTGTAGTAATGTGTGAGCTGTTTAGTTCAGATCTGAAGACTTTCCAGAAATGCACAAAATGAAGCACTGCATTAAAAGTACTGTTACATTAAAATACTGGTTATTAATTCATAGGACAGTCATTTCATGTATTTTCAAACATGTGACTTTACACGGTCAGTTTTACAATTACAATTGATCATAAGTTATACTGAAATGTTTATGACATACAAGTATTTTAACTAGTTAACATTTTTTGTGAAATGAGTTGCTCATCTTTTAAAGTAAAAAGATACAATTAAGTAGTTTATATAACTTAATATAATTCTGTTATCTGTAAACATAGTTATATTCATTTAATACACCTTATAGCAAATTTCTCTGTCATAACTGGAATGGACATTATAGACAACCCTGCAGCATTATGACATCACAAGAAGAAATGTTTGACACCATAGTGCAATATTGATGTTGTACGATGTCATTTGTCACAAAATCTTGAGTCAATTGCTTCAAATCACAAAAAGTGATAAGGTATATACTCAAATGATTGATTTACTAATATGAAATTTAAATCTTTTAAAACAATGTGTATCCAATTAGTTGGAGTCTCAAACAATATGTGCAGGTAACATAAAGAAAGATAACTACACAAGAAATCATAGAATTTATATTGCAGCTTTTTCTGAGGGCAAAATTTTACTTTCCTTTTTGAACAGTAGCATTCTGTTTAAGGTAATTATAAAGATGAACTCAGATTAAACTTTAAAATGATATAATTAACAATTAGAAAGAAAAGAATATTTTCTACATATATAAGAATTTACTTGATGATTTTTTCTCTGTCTATAATTAGAATATGTACTTAAAAAATAAACATAAAACAAACTGTACATTTATAGAATACAAGTATGCAAATAAAATATATATCCTTCACCTTATAAAATACAAGTAAATTAAGTGATTTCTGATAGGTGCATTTACAAAAATAAATACTTAAATATCAGAACATTACAAAACACAAAATAAAGGTGAGGTGGTGTACAGATATACAATAGCTTCAATTTGAATGTGGTAAAAGTCTGCTTATAATTTAAATATCTATAATGCACAGAAAAATGGCGCTACCACAACATAAGAGGTCATGACCTCTGTACCTACCACACAATAAAGAGGGCAGCACTTCTACCTACCTCCTCCCTCGGCATTTCCACTTCCTCATCTGTATCGTCCTTTATTTATAAAAATATTTTGAAACTTATATTTTTCATGAGACTGAATTATTTTAAATTTATGGACATTAATCATTTCAGCCACTGTTTGGACTTTTCAACTCATTTTTCTCCCTCTATTATTTCTTTTATCACTGATAAATTTATTACAGGTACAATTTATTTTAATTTTTCATAACACATTTAGATGGATTATATTCAAATAATTGTACATGTATTAATTTTTCTTTATTAAGCCACACCACACTTATAAATTTCATTCAGTAAGCAGAAGCTAAATCATTTAATTTTTATGATATTTACTATATATATTCTGTGGTGTAATAATTTTGTACAATATTATTCTGACTTGTAAAAATGTTTATGTAATTTTGCAGCGTATAATCAAATAAGTATTATTCACTTGCACATACAAGGAACATAGGCCCCTGTGAAAGTATGGGAAAAAAACATTGTGATGAATGAATGGTTTAGCCTAGATCTCACTCAAGTGAAAGATCCCTTTACCACAGATTGTGTAAATGATGTCTAGAATGACTATAGTGATTTAAAAGTTTACATAGCAAGTTTGCAACATCTGAACTCATTGCAATATTTTATGTGGAATCTAAAAATTCTCTAGAAGTATGGGTAATAGTATTTAAATGATTGAGAATTCAAGCTTATAGCATTCACAATACACCAAGTTAGTCAAACAAAATCAAGACAAAATAATTAATAGAAAATTAAATTGAACATGTTATTTCTATGATTTAATGGGTTCAGACTCTTAATGAATGCTCAGATACTGATCATATTTAGCCCTTATAGTTCAGGGTATAGTTTATCATAAGTTGTTAAAAAAATATTTTAGGTCAAGAATAGAATATAATTCCTAGAATCTTGACTGAACCAGGAATTTATATTGGCACAGGTTGATAATTTTAGGTTTCATTTAAAATTGAATAAAAAAATCGGAGAGTGCAAAAAATAAACTGCATGCATTATACATTCACTATGATGGCATGAATTAAACGCTGCAATTAAATTGTTGCAATATCTATATTTTCATAATTTTTTTTTTAACTGTGCTGATTTCCTTTACATGGGAGTAAAATGTTCCTATCAATACATGTCACAACATATTTCACAATGAGTTCAGAAAACAAAAGATAACTTACTAAAGTCGGTGAAGGTAGTTTCAAACCTCCTGTTCTCTATGAGAAATTAATAAATTACAACCATCAGTTAAGAAATAATGTACTGAAATATTGTGCAATATTTTTTCATTTATGTTTCTACTTTTTAATCTATTTTCATCCTTTTTCAGGATAATACAAACATATTTAAAAACTTTGAAAGATACAAAAAGCTTTTGGACCCCTGAAAAAAAAACAGTGACATCACCCTAAATACAATTCTTTGTTGCCATCATGGACTTATTGTTCCCCTTTAATTTCAAGAAAAGAATGCTAATTCGTTTTCATAACAAATGGTTGCCAAAGTGTCAATCATTAATTTTGCATCAGTACTTCATCAAGATTGGTTAATAGGCTATTAACTTGGTTGTGCTTAAGACACAGGTTCTGTAAATAAACTTTGAACATTCAAAAAATCAGTTAGATCTTAGAATAACAAAGATATAATCTTAATTTTGACAAAGTAAATAGTATGAACTGACCTTTTAGGCTAGATAGCTATCTTCTAGGTTATAGTACAATCGAAGATGACAACACAGAATTGTTTATTAGCAGTATAAATGTTTTTCAAGTGACTGTACAAGTAAAATAATCAGTTTTCCTAGTGGAATATTAAAATTGGAAAACTATTTAACAATGTTTAGGACGAAGAATCATTCATTTTTTAATACATCACAGTGTTAACAACATATAACTGAAACTGACTCAAAGGCCTCTTCATGTCTATTAAAAATTTATATGTTACTATCTATTTATTGAGTTATACATTAGTTATATAATTGAGACATGCTCTCACATGTAAGTGTTCTCACCTTCCCGTGTAGACTAAGACTCATGTCAGCATCAGATTTCCAGGAGTCATCTCCAGCACTTTTACTAAAGGTGCCATCTTCATCAGAGTCATAATCTACAATTTTCAAAAATGTATTTATTTACTTAAAAGTAAGTCCTAAAACCAATTCAAAACACTTTGAACTTAATCAGAATGTAGGATCTGTTCATTAAAATATGTATCAGTATTGATTCCCCCCATGCACTGTTTGGGGATCTGTTGATTTATTATCTAAATACCAGTAATATCAAATATTGACAGTAGTTTGCTTACTGTGTATAGTTTTACAAAAAATGAAAATATTTGTCCTTTTTCAGTTTTTTTTTTTTTTTAAACTGAAATGGAGTGCCTGTCTCTTTAGGAAGCTATAATAATGTTCATATGCTGTGCCTGTATTTTCTGATAAGCTTAACTAGTATGAGAAATAATCAGAAGTTCCTACTAGCCATACTGATGAAATAATAATTTTTCTTACCATTTGCCATATTTGTAGCAGGCAACCCAAACATTAAATCACTACTCTCCTGTCTGGGTGTATTAGTTCTACTTGATATGGATGGCATCCTTGGTGTACTGGCCACACTACCTGACTGTTTGTTGTTATGTTCTATCAGTAGATGGGAACAAGCATGCTGACCCTTTTGATTGGCTATATCTTCAGCATTGAATCCTGGAATCAAGAATAAGAAATACTGAATTCTTTTGAAAATTTAAAAATACCTGTTTGTGTAAGATGTCAAAGTTGTCTGTTTTTTTTTTAATTCTAAATTTAAATCCAATACTGATTTTAAATCTTCAATTAATTTTTTTTTAATTATTCTAGATGAGTTACGTAAAAGCACCATATTTACCTATAATATCTTGTCCAAAGGGACAAATGAAAAGATTGTGATATTTTCCAATTTTTTTAAAAAAGTATCAATTACTCATTTTATAGCTGATTATGATAAGAAAACAATTTCAAAACAAATCTAAATACCTTTTGTATCTTTGATTTGGGTATCTGCACCAACTGTTATCAAATCTTTCACCTGAGTTATTGCCCCTTCATAACAAGCATACATCAATGGTGTCCTGAAAAAAATAAAAACATTTGCTTCAAAAAATCAGCATCAACTTGTATCAACATTTCAAACAATTTAAATCTTGTTTTTCCATGTTATCTTAAATTATGAATATTTGAAATATTTTTCATCCATCTGAAATATTGCCTCTGATTATAATCAAGCAAGATCTGTTTGATATTCTGTCTTTCAATACAACCTAGATATTATACCACAAAATTTTTTTTTGTACAAAACATTATATTTGTACTAGAAAAAATTGTTTTTAAAAACTTGTTTAAAAGCATAATAGAGTTGAGTTAGTCCAAATTATAATTTTTCTGTGGTAAATTGAGGCCATTCTAGAAAATATCTAAATAGTCAAAATATTTTCTGTCCGTAAAATATGTAAAAGGACCACCATACCATAAATAATTAGCTAACCCCTGTACAAAGTAAGACTATCTCAACTCTCATTTACTTTATGTATGTTTTCTTTCAGACTGAGAGTTGCTGGACAGTTTTGTTTTTTGAGTGGATAGATCTTGCAGATTGCTTTGAGGTGCTCATTTCCCAAATCTAGCTTTTTTAGGGGGTAATTTTTGTTACCTGCCCAAATTATTTTGTCCATTTTTCACACTTCCCTAACTTTTTTTCCCTTCTTCTACTCAGATCCCACTTTTTTACCCCCTATATCTCACATCCCAATTTTTTACCCCCTATCTCTCAGATCCCACTTTTTTACCCCCTATATTCCACATCCCAACAGTGTGTCATCCCCTCATGTATTCAAGATAATAAGTTAATAAAATGGTTACTTAAAAATTATGCCTTAAATTACCTCCCATCTCCATCCATCACATCAAAGTCAGCTTTATTTTGTAACAATATCTTTGTCACTTCATCTTTTTTATTCTTCACAGCAAGATGTAAAGGAGCAAAACCACTCTACAAAATATAAACACGACATTATTTAAAATATTCATAGATTTTTGACACAGAGATATGTCGTGTTTAACAGATTTGACACAGAGATATGTCATGTTGAACAGATTTGACACAGAGATATGTCATGTTTAACAGATTTGACACAGAGATATGTCATGTTTAACAGAATAATGCAAATGTTAAAATTTATATGGTAACATTTTAACATGTCAACTTGATCTTTATTGTTTTTATCAGCAGCAACATATAATTTAAATCAGTTGGGGTCTGGTGGCCGCCCGTCCCTATGCACAACCCCAAATCAATACCCTGATTTCAGAAGGAGAACAAAGTTATAAATCATGATGTGCATGTTCCATATAAATAATCTAATTTTTTTTACACAATTTTGAGCCAAAATTCAGTTTCAAGGATTTTTTCCCATTGACATTTTCAAAATATCTTGAGCCTCAAATAATAATTTGCATTTGTAATTTCGGAACAAAATCACATTTATTGTGTCTATATTCTAAAAACATGAATATTGAATACCAAAAAATAAGTCTGGCTGTAACTGGTCAAATAAAGATTGATTGATTGATTGATTGGTGATTGCTTTATGCTGCATCAGCACAAAAAGCCTATATCAAATAAAGATCGGTATTACTAACCTTATTTCTAATGTTGATTTCTGCTCCACTTTTGATCAGGAGACGTAAAATATTGGTATAACTATTTTTTACAGCAACATGTACAGCAGTATCTCCGAGTCTGTCTCGTGTGTCAACATCAGCAGTGTGTTGTAGTAATAACATGACACAATCTTCATTCTTACATTCAACAGCCTGAATAATAATACAAATCAAACAGCATGATTATAAGGTTATAAAGTTTTTCCCCAATTTTCAAAAAAGTCATACCACAAAAAATTTTTAAAAAATGAATGAAAAACACAGTAAAATGAACTTGAAAAGAATAGATTGTTGGATACTTACATGTTACTACATATATATACATGTTCAGCTTCATGGACACCCAAGATAATAACATTTTAGGTAAAACTGAAGTTATATATATCATATTATGAATAAATCACCATAACTATATATTATAATACATGTACATATATCAGGGTTGGACATTATTTTTTTTACCAACTAGTTTTATCGGGATAAGTGTCAACAAAATTTCACTATTCACTAATTTCTTTAAATTGATGCATTAAAAGACATTTTAAAGGGAAATCACACTATTTATAATACTAATAATAATTCATTGAAATTTTGCATGTAGACAGATCATACTTATTAAGATATTTTAGGCGAAAAAAAGATTGGGGTCACCGATGTTGTTTTCGAGATATGACGTCATCAAAACTTAAAGAATCGCGTTATAACGAAATATAGAAATACCACTCTAAATTGTTAAAAAAAGACAAACTTATTGAAAAACCATGTTTAACTGGAATAACAAAAACAGTCAAATGTAACTTGTACCTAATGAACATTTATTTGTCTCGGTTTTCTTATTTTTGAAGGCATTTGAACATTTCCCGCCATTTTAATTGCTATTTATAATAGATTTTTCTTGAAATAAAAAAAATCTACTAATGTTTTTCCCTTTAAACTTCTGCATAAGTTGCAGCTTCAGGGGAGATTTTAAAAGCAAAAATAAAAAAGGGGGGTCATCGATGTTTTAAATCCGCTAAAACGGAAATAATCTTTATTATTGAATTTTTGCGGGAACTATAACCTTTTAACGTTATAGAACGACGTTGCTGGCATAACAGCATTTCTTGCAACGCTTGGGTTGAATTAAACCTTTTCACTACAAAATATAATATCATTTTTGAACATTTTTTAAGGTATTTTGATTATTCATTGATATCTTTATCAATCTATCGAATCGTTAAACATAGATACAATACTGAACAGTTTATTATAAAGTAATAAAGTCATCTCATTTTTTAAATTGCATTTGTTGTATGGGGAAAACGAATGTTTGCTTCATGCCGTATTATAGAAATAATTTTCGGCTTCCAGATAAAGAATCTTCTACCTCGGAAGACTGAGGGTATCCGGGCTGAAAAGTAACACGTTCCTTTTAGACTGCAGGCAGAATAATTTCGTTACCATAATTTCACTAGCTTGTCCATTCGCACCGGGAAGATAAAACCTGAAATGCCGTGTTAAAAATGCCACAAACTCAGCACGTTAAAAGAAACCTATTTTCGGTAGGAATTTAAAATTGGTTCCGTAATTACACAACGCTTCATAATTTATTCGAACTGTGGAAACCAAATTTTTTTCTGAGTTCTATCATCCCGCACCCATTTTTCATACATCGTTTCATGTTCATTGTACATAATATGTTCAATGTTCATCGCCTGTGTATTAAAACTTTATGTATTACGTATATTTTATTACTGTTCGATTAATCGCTCAACGTTGGTATATTATGAGAAATACAATGCATCTGATAATTTAGAGTTAATTGACAATGAAATACACATCGCCATATTGAAATCAGGAACATATAATGTTCCCAGTTCATTTATGTGAAAAAATCTTTTAATTTGTAATAAACGGCTCTAGTTTTTTTTTCTTATTCTGCTACATCTATCCGTGTTTCTGTGGACATGTCGATACTATTTATCTAACTCTAGTTGTTTTGTCGAGCCTTCGACTAAAGTCGAAAAAGCGAGACATAGCGATCCTACATTCCGTCGTCGGCGTCGGCGGCGTCCACAAATATTCACTCTGTGATTAAAGTTTTTGAAGTTTTAATAACTTTCTTAAACTATCCTGGATTTCTACCAAACTTAGACAGAAGCTTGTTTATGATCACAAGATGGTATCCAGAAGTAAATTTTGTAAAAATAAAATTCCTGTTTTTCCATATTTGACTTATAAATGGACTTGATTTTTCTGCCAGGAAACAATACATTTACTCTGTGGTTAGAGTTTTTAAATTTTTAATTACTTTCTTAAACTATCCTGGATTTATACCAAACTTTGTCAGAAGCTTGTTTATGATCATAAGATAGTATCCAGAAGTAAATTTTGTAAAAAAAAATCTATTTTTTCCGTTTTTTACTTATAAATTGACTTAGTTGTTCTGCCAGGAAACAATACATTCACTCTGTGGTTAAAGTTTTTTAAGATTTCAATAACTTTCTTAAACTATCCTGGATATGTACCAAACTTGGACAGAAGCTTGTTTATGATCAAAAGCTTGTATCTCGAAGGAAATTTTGTCAAAATTTTGTACCTGTTTATCCGTATTTTACTTATAAATGGACTTAGTTTTTCTTCCAGTTAACATTACATACAGTATGCAGTTAAAGTTTTTAAAACATTTATTAGATCCATAAACTATCCTAGATTTATACCAAACTTGGACAGTCTAAGCTTCTTATAATCAAAAGATAGTATCGAGTGGAATATTTTTATTGATTTTTTTCCTCATTTTTGTTGAGCCTGCGATTAACAGCAAAAGTAGGCGAGACACTGGGTTCCGTGGAACCCTTACGAATTTTTTTATCAGATGACAAATAAGAGTGTGGATAACCTTTGGTGTAGAATAAGAGTTCGAGTTCCAGCTAAATTTAGAGTTAAAGTTCCAGTTTTATTTTTAGTTCGAATGTTTATTCGAGTAAGAGTTCTAGTTAAAGCTCGAGTTCCACTTAGAAACTTCCGAGTTATACTGTAAGATAGAATAAATTCTGGTAAAAGTTAAAATTTTGAGATCTGAGATCGGATGAAATTAAAAGAAAGATTGCACTTTCTATTTTCTGTTGGTGCACCTCTCTTTCTAGAGTTGTATATTCTTTTATCACATTTATGTTTCAGTATGGTATAGCCTATATACTTTTTTTGCCAAAACTGATTAATGATAGGTAATTTGAAAATAACTGATTGATTGTGTGTGCCACTTTTTGCACTCTGCTATATCATGTTGGCCGTTTTTTTTTAAAGAACCAAGGTATCAAGAGTAAATCAGCTACCTTTGTATTAAACAAATGGTTGTCCTTTACAGTCATGATCGGAATCTGACAATCTCCCTATATCACTGTTTGTTGACAGGTAAGTGATCACATTGAGTGATCTGAACACGAACCTACATCTGAATTACTAGTTTTTGTTTTGTTTTTGTTTTCGTTTTTTTCTTGATTTTTGTAAAACTTTCAGTGGCAAATATTACATGAATATCAGCACAAAATTTTTTTCTATATGAGATGAATACTCTTTCCCAAGACGGACCTTAATGTGATGGTTACAGATTAGCACTCTGAAAGACATGTTACTTTACATAAATACACGTGTATGTGTTAAATATTTCTCTTGTTGGAGTCTTGTAAAGCCAAATATACAGTGTGGATTTTTTGTTGTTGTTGTAGGCAGTACGGTCATCAATAGTACAAAAATAACTAGGCATAGTGTTTGATATTCCCAGATTGCTCTGACGTCTAGCGGCCTTATTTTTTAACTTGCTGGTCGTACAGTTCGCTATAATTGACAGTATGAAGAAATACTACAAAATATGATTTTTTTTGGTGCCCAAATTATGTAAGCCTGTACAAAGCATTAAAGGAAGATTGCGTATAATGTACTATATAATACGGTGCTAAATTTTCTTTGATTTCGACAGCCAGCAACCGATGTAAAATTTTGTATGCTTCTTTTACAGTGATGTTTAACTGGCGTTATTCTTAAATAACGTTTGATATTTCAGCAAATATGATTACTCTACGAATCACTCGTGTTCATGTGTTTGTGCCCCCCATACCCCACTTCTCAAAAAAAAAAGAAACAGAGAGACTACGAATCACTCGTGTTCATGTGTTTGTGCCCCCCATACCCCACTTCTCAAAAAAAAAAGAAACAGAGAGAGAGAGAGAGAGAGAGAGAGAGAGAGAGAGAGAGGCGTTTGACACCAAAGGAACATCGAAACTCATTGTTCTTATTTACATCCCTCTGTTGGACAGAAAACTACAAATTCCGGAAGCTGTACGCTTACATGCTGTTACTCCTGGTATATTGTTATTTTTCCCAGTATATTCCAACATACGGCATCGCGACGATTAACGCTGCCAACAGTTGGGTTACACTAATGACAGGACAATTGCCCGTATTGACCGGATGCGATATAAATAGGCAGAACTTTTTTGTTATTTGACTATATTTTATGAAAATCTAACAAAAAAAAGTTGACTGGACGGATTTCACACTCACTGATGTACGCTTTACAATATTGAACTGATCGACAAAAATTGTTACTAGTAATATCTCTTTTGTTTTACAATATTTTTTCATACAACTAAGAAATCTGCGAGATTAATAGTTATCTTTTATGAAAATTTAAACTTCATAGTAAAACAAAATGTTTTTCTAAAAAAAAAGTTGACTGGACGGATTTCACATTCCCCGATGTACGCTTTGATTATACTGAAATGATCGATAAAAAGTGTTATAAATATCTCTTTTGCTTTTAAATATTTTTTTTCTTCGTGAAACTAAGAAATCTGCGAGATCAAAATATTGTTAATATATGAAAATATAAACTTTACAGTAAATAAAAAAAGTTTTTCTACAAAAAAAAAGTTGAGCTGACGGATTTCGCTACAAATAATAAAGACCAGATCAACAAAAAATCTTTATATTTCTCATATCTAACAATATTTTTCGGTGAAATTAATAAATCTTTAAGAAAAAATATTGTATAAATGGTATTGTATGTAAATACTAACTCAATAATAATAATAATAATAATAATAATAATATCTTTATTTAAAAAGAGTAACTCATTTGAATTAAACCCAATCGTAAGGTAATTCAAGACCATATCAAGACCACTTTCGGCTATTTTTTTGCCATACATTTTGTCCGTTTCGAGTAGCATTTTCATTTTTTGCACTTAAATCAAAACGTCATTTGCATTTGCATTTCCCTTTGAGCGGGCCGCCATTTTAGAAATTAGCAACCTTTACGACGGACTCGAAACGGCGACGTCATAATACGGTCACGACACTATAGCGGCGCCGAGAGCGATGCGTATAAACAATAGTGTGATTTCCCTTTAACTGTAACTTGATTGTGATTTGTTTGGGTTTTTTTTTTGCTATTCAAAGAATGTGGTACTGATCATGATTGTCCTGTTTAATTTATACACAAACTTTTTAGAGTCAAGTAAGAGCTTGATATATATTGAAAGGTTAAACCACTTGCCCAAATTTACATTGACTCACAAAAGCTAAACATAGAACATAACAAGCATATAAAGGCAACTATTATTATGAATAAAAGTTTTACATGTATCTTTTATTGTAATACGTAACAGTTGACATCCATGTTCTCTACATATGTGATCATTATGCACACAAGGCATGAGTTCAGTAACTAAATACAGACAAATTTATTATAAATATTTTTTAAAAAGAGGGTATTGTCTTTATGAAAAACCTGTACATCTTTTCAATTTCCTTCTCATTAGATCTTGTTTCAACTGTAATTGAAAATGGTGTGCCAGTGGTCATTAATACTCATTCATTTCATTTTACTACATTAGGTAACAGCATAAATTTGAGGTTAATCCTTAATTCTAGGACAAAGGATTGTTTAAATTTGTCCCCCTTTTTTATATTTATTGCTCTATATAATATCGTGTGATCAAATACACCTTAATATCTATCCTGAAACAAACTTATTGGTCAAGAAGAACTAAACCAAATAAAAAGCTTTACTTAAATGTCATGTAACAATACTAGTATTTGCATTTAATCAATGGCAAAATATTCAGAAATATTTTACATAACTCTTAATCAGTCATTTTAACTTGACCCCTGAGTCTATATTTCAATCCATTTAAATACTACAACTATATGTATTGTTCAATCAAATTCAATTATTTTCAAAATTAAATAAAAGCAAACAATATTTTGACTTTATTTTGAAACAACTAAAGAATAAAAAAGCAAGAAAATAATTAAAATGCCCAAAATGGAAGTTTTGCAACTGCATAAAGGCAGAATCATTTTCCACATATTCTAAAGCTCTTCATTGCCTATCACGTATCTTACACAATCATATATAAAGTACATTTACTTATACTTTAATACCACAATGATAATTCACATGCTAAGTTTTGGCAATGATAAGAGAAACGTTTTTGTGGTGTACTGATTAAGAAAAGAGGATTTAATAGGACTACCATTCACATGCTATATATCAGTATTAGTTGTGAAAGGATTTATCTTCACAAATATTCCAACAAGTTATTTTAAGTGTCCCAGGTAAACAGATACTGCCAATTCATTGGGAATTCAGACCAACTGTTCATTCATCAATTATTGATATAACTGACTAAAGAATAAGGCTGCAAATATTTGTCCATTAATGAATCAATATAAGTGTTCACTTTTGATCACATGAAGTAAGTTGTTTGTCCTAAAAATACTGCATACCTCTCAAAAACATATATTAAATCATAGTTAGGCCATACACTATCAGTGTAAATTCTCAATCGGCTTCTAGGTGTCAGAAAAAAAATAGTCAAGTTTGAGGAAAATACTATTCTGATTTACACTGGGATTCCCCATTAAGCAGAGGAGGATTTAGGGGGTGACCCCCCCTCCCCCATTATGGAGCTATATATATGATAAATGCATATACTTTTTACAAGCATCAGTTCAAACATTGAGCAACTAGGGGCCCCATGTTTTCAAAATCCTGGATCCGCACCTGAGTACAATTTTCATCAAACCACATTAAACATGTTTTAAAATACTTAAAGAGATACTTCTGGTAAATTCTGATACTTTTCTAATACAATGTACGTATACATGTAGAATGCAAATTACTGTCAATTCAGAAATTTATGCATGCATTTATTATTGCGATTTTTTGCAATACAAATAATGCTATCAACATTTAAATTGCAATTAAAAATGTTCGCAATGATAAAAACATTACAAAAATTTCTGGGGTATGGTCAACTAGGCAAAGTTACTTTCCACCCAGTTAAAAGAGTTTGTAGTGCAAACTTGTTATCAAGAATACAAATCTTATCTTTTTGTCATTGGGTTGCTGTCTCATTGACATATCCCCACATCTCTTTTTGTTCCTATATAGATCATATGAACTTCCAAGATAAAAATTTTTAAACTGGTGGCAACATTCCAACTTGTACAGGCAATACTGACATTGAATTAAAATCTTCCTAAACGGATTTTAAAAAGTTTTCATTCACCTGCTGTCATTTTTATTTGTTAAAGAATATGACAATATCTATATATTTTGATTAATATCTATTCACGATCTTGTGTCACCCTTTTCCGAACAGTAACCTAAATTCTTTAATCAATATATGAATGATATATATTACCCCAAAAATGTACAATTTCTTTCCTAGTCTGACAGTTTCTATCAATTGATAAAAGTAATAATTCTAAGTAAACAACAGGCATTTAAAAAATGGATCTATATATACTGATAATTCAGAGTACTTGAAATTCCATTTAAATATCTCTTAAATTTATTAAAAATACAACAAAATTTCTTTTTGTTATATAAATATGAGTTTAACAATTTTACATTAAAAAAAACATGAAAACCCCTCTTTTTCTGTGCCTTATTTATACATGTAAATTACAAAATGTAACCAGTTACCCAAAATAAATTTTACTTGCATGTATTGACTGCTTGTGACCTTACCTACCAGAAGTGACACATTTGCTTATGGTCAAGACAAATAGTAATAAAAGAACAGAGTTCCATTGCCCCACGTGTTGCACATATTTTATCTATCCAAGGTACAAGGGCAATCAATAACTGAAAAAGCACTTTTTTTTTGTTCTATAAGACTTTTATTAACATGTTAGAGATATGAAGGCTTTAGAGCAAATGTAATGTGATTGCCATTATAATTAATATTTCCATGATCAGGGGCATACATGTGTAACTCGTTAAAAATATTTGATCAGAACTTATTTTCGAAAGTGTCAAAGACATTGCTGATATAAACCTCTGATATAAGATTCATAAATTCTGGCAAAAATTGAACTTATGGCAGTGCTAACAATGCAATTTTCCGTATAATCAATATTTCCAAAGGGCATAACTCTTTTAAAAATAATTGATCGGCACTGATTTTCGAACTCGTCAAAGTCATTGATGATATAAACCTATAATGTAAATTTCGCAAACTAGCAACGCGTTGCACAGGGGACAATAACTCTATGAAGTATTACAAGGGAAACAATGGAAAAGAAGGCAGTATAAATGTCCAATACATGATTTTGATACATTTACCAATACACAATTTTGATACATTTAGTAATAGGTGTGACTTTATTTCGAATCATCAAATATTTTTGATCAGGGACAACAAGCTATATAGCTGATATCAAAACTTAAGGTGACCTTCAATTGCTAACCTTCTACATCATTTGGTCTCTGGTTGACACTTGTCTCATTGGCAATCATACCACATCTCATTTTTATATTTATATGCAAAAGCTATGACCAGGGCCAGGAGCTTGTTATTCAGTGGTTACTGTTGGTTGTCGTCTCACAGCATAGTTTTTTTTTAATTTAATGTTATTTGCTTAGATCAGGCTGTTCATTTTCTCTTTTGAGTTGTTCCATATTTTTTTATCTTAGGGCTTTTTATAGCTTACTACATGTACAGTGTGTATATATCATTGACATTTTCAATCATACCACATCCTATTGTTTAAAACACACTGTACATGTACAGTGCAAATATATGGCCCAGATATAATGTTTCAATATTCATCTCGGCTTTGACATTGAAAATATCAAATATTCAAATAGGGACTCATTAAAATGCCTTTAATATCTACCAGTAATCTTTTAATAATAAATGTAAGTATAGACACTTTGTATGGTATTATAAAAGTTTTTTTCTCTTGTCAATTTTATCATTACTTCATCTGTTATAAACTCAATAAGAGGTATAGTGCCATGTAATACGTTTTGTACATATTTACTCTGGCATCAACACTTCTTCAGTTCATCTGAGTAAACTACTGAAAGAAGATACTAGTTCTTAGACAGAAAAGAAATGTGACTATACAGTATGGATTTTTCTCCTTGTTTAAGTCCATCAGGTGACCTAGAATAGCTTATATCCACTTATTTGAACTCCAGTGGATAGTTGTCTCATTGGCAATCATACCACACCTCTTTATTTTTATATTGCACATGTACATGAAACAACATAAAATTTGATGCACAGCAATTCATTGGATGGATAATTATAATAACAACAATTACACAGTTTTACATCATGATGGACAATGACCAATCACCTATATTATATACTTTAATTGGTACATGTATCAATTTTTGTTATACCATATACATTATATTTGTTATTTTACAAAAGATAATTTATGCCATACCTTAAGAAGGGGAGTTTTGCCTTCATTGTCTCCAATATTTGGTTTGGCATGCCACTCCAATAATTCCTGGACAATTGGTTTACTACCTTTCACACAAGCAAGATGTAAAGGGGTTCTGAAATGAAAAATATAGACTAGGTTTTGGATATTTTATAGCTTGACATATTGTAACAGACATCTATTTTCAAAGACTGTATGTGTAAGCCTCTAGATGCAATACTTTGCTCAATTTTGTCATTTGGTTGCTTTCTCATTGATGTATACTTCAAATCCCCTTTATTCATATCTACGAAAAAGAATTTCCTTTGATACCTGAATATCAAATTGTGTGCTATTTTAAAGACTCAACCTAACTTTTTCTCTGTAAACATTTGAAAAATACATGTATCCCTTTAATAATGAAACGTTACAATGCATGAATAGCATGGAAGCTTTTAATAAACAACATTTATATATTTAATATGCACATGATTCATGAATTAACTTCATATGCAGGCATAACAAATGTGATCTGCATGTCTAATTAGAGGCCTTTACATGGAACTAGTACTTATTGTAAATATTTTGAAAATAGTGATTTTCTGGTGAAAATGTTTTGGAGGCCAGTGACAGGACTAATTTTGTGGTAAAAAGGGAAGTCAATATTCTTGGTCTAAGGGGACTATGTCCATAAAACAATAATTTTTAATGCGTTTTAAGTATTTAAATATATATGGATTAATTTAATACAGGGATGATTCTACTAGCAGCGGAATCAGACCCCTTCATATACAATTGACGAAAATACTATGGGAGTATTTGATCTTGTAAAAGTAATCTAATTTATTTTGACGTCTTGATTGGCCAATTTTATTTTTTTGCTGTGCCGCCTTCCTACGACAGCAAAAAAATAAATCATTAGCCTTTCAAAACGTCATAATTGTTGGACTTTCATAAAAGCAGATCGCCCATCAGGTAGATAAAAAAGATGCTTTTTGTCAAAATTGGTTTAGTAAAAGCACACCTTGGCAGAGAGCAAAATTTAGATTTTGATATAACATCATTGAACATTGATGATTTTAATTGGGACCCATCTCATAAAAGCAGATCAATCAGAGGAACCATTATATAATATGATGGAAACTTGTTTTATAAAAAAAAAGTATTTCATATTTTGTCTGGCCCCATTTCCTCAAGACAAAAGTCTGACTGTCTGAACGTTTTAGAAAAAAAACATGTTGATAGATCATTCACGAAATACACATTATGGCTATTTGGAAATCTGCCCGGTTCAATTTTTGACGTCATACAACAATCACTTTTCCATTGTGGCGTCAGATATTTTCTATTGTGACGTCAAAATTTTACGGGAACCTTTGTGATGTCCAGTAATGGCGGACAAATAGCGATAAGGTGTATAGGGTATCGACACATTATGGAACTGTTTCAGAAGTTGGGAAGATGATCCAAATAATATAATAAATACAATGGTTCAATGCTTAAATTTCCTGTTTTTTTAGAGTTACACGTAAAGTAAAACTGGGACATTAGTATAATAATTCCAGTGTAAAACTATGACAACCATCTACATTTTAAACAGCAAGCAAATATCACAAAAAATATCTGATCAATTAAGTACTAAAACTTTTGTAATTGCTTTTCTGAATTCAACAGTAGGCATTTCAATTTGAAATCGATTTACATCAAGGAAAATTTATAAAGATGACCTGTTGTTGAAAAAATTACTCAATGGATGATTTTTTTCAGGGGTTTATCTTGGCTGTTACATATATAAAAGGTAACACCATAGCTAAGATGCAAGCCTAGAATAGTGCATCATGTGGAATGATTTTCATGTAACAACTTCCCTGGTCTCAATCCACTAAAGTCGAGCAATCTGGTAATCATATGTATATCATAATCATTAGCCCCTTCAGGATTATTCCAAATGTTACAACTTCGTACAGCAGTGTTCAGGTTAAGCTCAATACATTTTCTGTTTTTACAGGAAAATAATGTTATTTCGTCTAAGATTTTATGCATAACAAAATTCCCAATTGGGATGAAAATTCCCAATTTGCTGGTTAAGGGACCCATTTGAAAACACCTGGAATCATCCCTGTAATATGTAATCATATTCAGTTTCATTCATTTTATTAATTAATAATCCAATAATTACCAAACTGTATATCTTATATGACTAACGAAATAAAAAGAGTTTTCTAGAGTGCTTTTGCCACTGCTCGTAATTTGGACATATACCATTTACAGTAGTTTACAGTAGATAAAAATGTATTACAGGAAGACAAATAATGTAATGAACTCATCACCATTTAACTTGAAATCTGTTAAAATCATTTAAAATATGATGTATTTTGGCTGTTCAACCATTTCAAAACGACGGCCGTTGAATTAACTTGTACTTTGTATAAGTCTTCAAAAGTAGGAGCACCTCCAAATACAAAAATTTTGTTCAAGAAAGATATTCAATTATCCTTTTATCATCACTACAGACACAGGCATAGCGAATGAGTTGTGATATATAAACACCATAAGACTGTGCCAAAAAGAACATCACCGTCCGAAAAAGGAAAATTTACAATAGGGAAAGAAAAATAGTTCCTTTTGTCGTAGAGGTTTAGAGTTTGTCATGTAAAACTGAAATATCTAAATCTAGATAAGGACAGTTATTATTGTTAATACTAGATTTATTTAAAGTAAGTTCATTTGGGTAAGTTTTAGCAGTTTTTTTTAGAGAATTCTTGATTATTTAACGAAAAATTATCATCAAGATATTATGTATTGTTGAATTTATTAATTAAATCGAATTTAGACAGGTCTTTACTGAGTTTGGCCATAAACTGTGATTCATAACAGTACAGGATCAAGTCTGCTATTAAAGGGGCACAACTGGTGCTCATAGGAATACCTACAACCTGATGATAAACTTTTATAGCTTACTATGCGGTATGGGCTTTGCTCATTGTTGAAGGCCGTACATTGACCTACATATATAGTTGTTAATTTCTGTGTCATTTAAATTTGGTCTCTTGTGGAGAGTTGTCTCATTGGCAATCATTCAACATCTTCTTATGTTTATATTTATTGCTGAAACGTACAAAAGCTAACCAAACCTTTAAACAGACTTATTTGGAAGGGATATAGTTACGATACTGTTGTCAAGTCATTTTGGATTGCATATTTTGGCATTAATATTGATTCACTCGTAGGGTCTTTGCATCGGAAATAAACACATTTATTCTAAAACCAGTTGTTGGCATGATAAGGGTTATGTACTTATATATTTTATGATGGTATGATACTAAACCCCTAACGAGAGGGATTTAATTGATTTTCATATGATGAAGACATAATCTTTCGGTCAGTTTAATTGAGGTCTGGAGCTGGCATGTCAGAAACTGCTAGTAGTCCTTTGTTAATTTATGTATCATTGTCATTTTGTTTAGTTTCTTTTGATACCTTTTCTGACATCGGACTCGGACTTCTTTTAAACTGAGTTTTACTGTGCGTATCGCTGTGTGTTTCTTTATTCTACATTGGCTAGAGGTATAGGGGGAGGGTTCAGATCTCACAAAACATGTTTAACCCCGCCGCATTTTGGCGCCTGTCCCAAGTCAGGAGCCTCTGGCCTTTGTTAGTCTTATATGTTATTTAATTTTAGTTCATTTCTATGTTTTGAAGTTTAGTATGACGTCCATTTTCACTGAACTAGTACACATTTTTAATTTAGGGCCAGCTGAGGACCACCTCCGGGTGCGGGATTTTCTCGCTGCGTTGATGACCCATTGGTGGCCTTCGGCTGTTATCTGCTCTTTGGCCGGGTTGTTGTCTCTTTGACATATTCCCCATTTCCATTCTCAATTTTATGAATGTTGTCAGGGAGAAAATTTACAGCTTTTAATAATCATGTCATCACACCTCCAGTTGGTATATCTACAATGTAGCATATTTACCTTTCTCATAAATTTGAGAAAAACGCTTTATATGAGTTGCAGCAAATAAATTTGCAATCAGAATCAGAGATAAGATTCTGTGGAAGTGTAGTTTAAAGAGTGGAAAAGTCAAACTGTCAACCAAATCAAAAGGACCATCAAAAGCACGTAATTTATCGAAAACATCAACAGAATTTTTTATACTCCAAAAATAGTTATTTCCAGATACATTTTGTGAAGCCTGTTGTTATATTTTTAAATGTATACAAATTAATGTATTTAAGCCCATGCAATAACTGCCCTAGCCCTATCATGCTATGCTGTTACCCCCCAAAAAAGTACATACATGTATAAAAGTAAGTTTTAGTATCACATAAAAGTGACAATAAAGCCCTCAAAATCCTAGCTAAATCATGTCATGTTTTTTATTTGGAAAACTACACCTTTTCAAGACACATATGTACAAGCACCCTAAGAAAAATTTATGAATGTCAAGTGTTATACACAGTTTGAAAAATAAAATGAAATATTATTTTTGAGGGAAAGTGTTTAATTTTTCCATTCATAAAAAGTATTTTTAATTTTCATTAAAGGTGAAATTTTTTTATATACATGTACACAATTTCGTGGGTAACCTGTTTATTGTTTTACACTTTTTAATAACTGATGTTATCAGATGATTTTTTATTAATACTAGTAGCAATGTGAGAGTCAAAAAAATATCTATAGATCACCGAGTGACATTTAACGCGAAAACATCGTGTCTTGTCATGTTTTGTTTTGATTCTGCATGGATGGTTGAGCAAGAATGTTTGGAATGGGGACGTCGTGCACCCTGACAGCTGATCACAATATGCATTATATAACAATGGTGCATTTACCTGTTTTCCTTATCTAAACCGTTCGCATCCTTCTTAACTAAGGACTTTACTTTCGCTAAATCGTCATTCCAAACAGCTTTATGAAGCTTCGGCAAGTCCTTTTCTCTCACTTCATAACCAACATAAACCCCTCCTGTAGCTCCAATTGCCCCAAGATTTGGCGATGGTGGCGGTGTTGGTCTTCCAGGTTCACCTTTTTTCTTTCCAAGTTTCCCGAAAAACTTCTTCATATTTGGTTTCTAATAACGCTTTCAGTTGCCAGTTCGAACATCCATGCTGAATATGACCTCGATTTGAATGAATACATACAAGGGAGATAAACGATTTCCCCGCGGTTAATGAGGGAGTTCCTAAAAAAAATAAGATTGTTTAAAAATAATACACCACGGAACGGTGAAAACGAGAGAACAGCGGAACATTCAAAATATTAAGAATGGCTGAATGAAGTGTTATAAGATGTTCATGGTATAATAAATGTTTTAGATTAAACAAGAAATCGAAATCTTACTTTTTTCTATATTTTTTTATTAATTTCATGAGGCTAAACTGGAAGCTAGGCTGTAAATTGTTTTGACCTCGAATCGGAAATTCCAATTCATGTTCCATAGAAGTCTCAATCGACCATCATGACAATCACTTTTACTTTCTAAAAACATCAAGAGTCAGGTAATCCGTCGCTATAGTTCGACCAAAACTAAAATATTTATGTTCAATATGTGGGACACTTATTCAATTGAACATACTACAAAGATTGGTATGGTCCAACGCAGAACCGTTTGTAACCAATATCATAAAATCAGGAGTGTAACAGAAATGGATTATAACACGGCCAACTGGCCAACATTACAAGAAAGAAGACTATGCACGAGATAAATTAATTATGCTTTACAAAATAGTCCATTTAATCGCAGCAAATCCATCTGCTATTCTCATACCATCTGACAGTAGAAACCGCAAATTAGCCACACATTTACATGTAAAGACTATTTTTGGCTACAAAAGATACATATATATTGAATTTACATTTTTTCCATATACTATAATCAGGAACATATATATTGACATATATATATATGATATACTGTTCCCAGCTATAATCCAATGGAATTTACTACCAACACCAACTGTTAGTTACCGCCACTACAGTTGACACATTTAGAGAGCTGCTACCCTTTGCTGTTCTCCACACCATCAATTAAATCTTCATCATGATATATCAAATTATGTAGATAGTTTTAATTCCAAATTCTAGGCACTTCGTATATATCAGTTCCACTTTTTGAAATATGTGTATTAAACGCCATGCTGCGGAAACGGTAATTAATATTCAGATACATTGAATGATAACTGAAACCTATTAAGAAAAAGATGATCACCTATACAGGTTGAGCATGGGCTTTGCCGGGAACACGCAATATAGTTACTAAATTTGCAATTGCAAAGGTCCCACAGTCATGCTGGAATACACCAAATATATAATGACTGATTTGTTATTGGAACTTTTAAATAAAAAAAACAAAAAAACACACAGAACATGTGCTTGTTTTGTTCAACCAATGTATCAAACGATGAATCACAGACATTATTCCATCTTGTTCACATCCTCTATTTGTAACGACAAGCCAGCGAGTTCCTGAATTATCCGATGTTCTGTTTAAAAAATTTGGACACACGGTTCGTTCTTGAAATGGAACACAGGACTGCAAACCTTCAACTTCTTGGAACTGTGAATGAATAATATGCATAGAACTGTCTACGATGAGACCATTTCACCAACTACACGAATCTGTTATACAATTATTGTCTGTGATATAATTTAGAAATCCCCTATTTTTTTCGTCAGCAGGAATCCAAACCTCAATGCTGTATCTTAAATCATTTGCAGCACATGCTTTCATTTAGATTTTCGACTGTGATATATTCGATTTGAATGTAAAAAGAGTCATAAATATGTATTTTGTCTTTTTACTTGAATTGCGATTCGTCAAAAACCTGTCCATGATGCTACTGTTATGAACTTTTCCGTTTTGATCATATACAATGTATAAATAGTGTACGTCATTGCATTATTTTTTTTCAGTAGAAATAAGTGAATTTAGTACAAAATCGTAGATTTTTCAATTTTTTTTTACATATCACACAAAATTAAATGATTTTGACTTGAAAAAAAAACGAATACGCTGTTGACCCTATAATTCTATATCAATAAGATGAAAATGTTCAAAATATATACATATAGTTTTTAAACTATATTCTGCGGACGAAATTAACGCAATTCAAAATTGGTTCGCAGACAATAACTTTAGTGTAAGTGTATGCATGTGCAAGAAATTTTAGTTCAATGTTCCATACCAGAATAGGAGGGTTGCGATTGATTCACGGGTTTATTGTCTTAGCTGTTTTGTAATTAGGGGCAAGAAAGGGGCCAAAAACAATTATTTGTCTGGTTTTAAGACAATTACTTGAGTATAAGAGATATTTCATTGGTCAAATTTTAACACAAGATTCCACACCACAATAGGAAGGTTGGGATTAATTTTGAGGGTTATTGTCATAGCTGTTTAGGAATTAGAGGCCAACAACAAGCATTTTTCATGTTTCAGGACAATAATTGATGTATAAGAGTGAAGATTTCTAAAAACTAGGATTTTCTGATTTCTGGACAATAACTTGAGTATAAGTCTATTTATTGCTATTTAATTGTGCCACTATGTGTTATACCGTAAAATAAAGTTTGGGATTGATTTTAGGGGTAATGACCCTATTGCATGGTTTAGTTAAAAGGGGTCAAAACCAGTACTTTGTATACATTGCTTATTTTTTTTAGCAATTTCAATGGGGTTTAATTCGAAAGTCTTCAATTCCTGGGAGTCTTTAACATGCTGAATCTAATTGGGTATTTAATATTTGGATTTTAGGGTCTGTTTTTGAAATGATTCATATATATTAAGGTCTAAAAGGTCCAAAATTAAACTTTGTTTGATTTCTTTAAAAATTATATTATTGGTGTTCCTTGATATGCTGAATCTAATTGTGTATTTAGATTTTTTTTAATTTTGAGGTCTGTCTTCAAATTGGTCCACATTAAGGTCCAAAGTGTCCAAAATACAACTTTTTTTATTTAAAAAAAAAAATGAATTGTTGGGATTCTTTGATATGCTGAATCTAAGCGTGTATTTAGATTTTTGATTTGGGGCATGGTCGGTCCACATTAAGGTCCAAAGTGTCAAAAATTAAACTTTGTTTGATTTTAAAAAGAAAAGAATGGTTGGAGTTCTTTGATATACTGAATCTAAGTGGTATTTAGATATTTGATTTTGGGCACAGTATTCAAGATGGTCCACAATGGGGTCCAAAATTGAACATTGTTTGATTTCATCAAAACTTAAATTGTTTATGTTATTTGATATTGTCAATCCATCAGTGTTTTAGATTTTTTGATTTTGTGCTTGGTTTTCAAAATTGGTCCAAATAGGGGTCCAAAATTAAACTTTGTTTGATTTCTTCAAAAATTAAATCATTGGTGTTCTTTGATGTGTGCAATCTAACAGTGTTTTAAATTTTTGATTTTGGGCCCGTTTTTCAAACTGAACCCCATAAAGGTCCAAAGTATCCAAAACAAAACCGTTTGATTTTAACAACAAATGAAACAATGTGGTTATTTGATATGCTGATCCAACCATGTATTTAGAATTTGAATATTGGACCATAATTGGTAAATGTCTAAGTTTAAAATTATTTAAGAACTTATACCACATTCATTCTGTGCCAGAAACTATGCTATTATTAGATATTTGCCCAGAATCTAAATTCAGAGATGTTATTGGACAATTAACAGAAATTTTAAGTTGGGTCATAGTTGAAAAAGATATAACATCATATCTAATTTTAGAGAACTATTTTTGTGGTTTACATCAAGGGTTCATGGAAAATAAATTGGTTCACAGACAATAACTTATTATAAGTGTATGGATGTGTAAGAAATTTTAGCACAAGGTTCCATACCACAATAGGAGGGTTGAGATATTAAAAAAATAATCAAGCTCTACATTTATAGATTTATTATAGAAATTTCAAATTGAGTCATAGTTTAAAATAGTTTTGCTGATTCAGATATATTAATTGTGGTCATAATTGTGTATGCATTGTGTTCTATTTAAAGATAGTTAACATGTTTGAATATTTTCTTATTGTTGAAAATTCCCTTGGAAATTAAAATAGACCTTTGTCCATTTGTTGAAGTGGAGTGTATGTAAGTGAAGTTTAAAAATACAATTGTGCCATACATTATGTTATGTTACATCTTAATAAAAACAAATTTATTTTTAGATAATAATCTATTTTTATCAAAAGATATATTTCATTACAATACATTGTGTAGATAAAGTTGTTGACATTGAAGGATAAGTTGCAGATATTAGATTGTGACAAATGAAAGAAAAAATATTGGGAACTATTTATTATATATATATAAAGTTTGATTACACTAAGTGTTTTTATAGAGCTAAAATTTATTTGCCTTTTTTAATTTTTGTTGTTGTTTGTTTTCCAGTTCGATAACTGTGAAATACCATGCCCGGACTGTATTAATCTATATTAATGATAAGAAATGATCGTAAAATCAATTACACAATTATAATTGGAGTGACATATTTATTTAAAAATTTTGTGTTTCCTAACTGTTGTTGATGATAAGCTCTGTAGGACAGTATAATTATATTTTGAAATTTACTGTTCATTATTAGATATTTTGAAGATATATATAATTACAGTTTTATAGATTTTTTAAAGACATTGTATTAATGATAAATGATATTTTGGAAATTATTTTTTCTTTTCTTTGGTAAATTGTGTGAAGAATTTTGTGGTAGGTATGTTTGTTATTCTGTATAAACTAATTTTCTGAATACTATTTATATTTTTATGCCTCTGCCGTAGCGGAGGGGGCATTAAGTTTTACCTTTGTCCGTCTGTACGTCCGTACATCCGTAAGTCCCAAAATTAGTTTCCGTTCACTAACTTTAGTTTGCCTCAACCAAATACTATGAAACTTATACACAATGCTGATTACCACAAAATACAGATCAAGTTTGAATTTTGGTGGCGTCACTTTTCAAGTATCGTTCTAGAGTTATTCTCCTTTACAAATGGAAAAATGCTGATATTTTCGTTTCCGTTCTCTAACTTAAGTTTGCCTCCACCAAATGTTATGATACTTACACACTATGCTTATTACCACAAAACTCAGATCAAGTACAAATTTGGGTAGCGTCACTTTTAATGTTCTTGAGTTATGTCCCTTTATAACGTTATATGCAAGCGGGGCATCATCTGTGTCCCATGGACACATTTCCCTTTTTTTTTTTGATGAAGCGAACTCCTTTAAAAACTAAGTTTATATTGTCTGTCTAAACCTGTATTTAAATTTTGGATTTTTGGGCCCAGTTTTCAAGTTGATCCAAATCAGGGTCCAAAATTAGACATTGTTTGATTTCAACAAAAAGTGAATTTATGGGGTTCTTTGAAATGCTGAATCTAACCATGTATTTAGACTTTGGATTTTTGGCTCCGTTATAAAATTGGTCTACATTGAGGTCCAAAGGGTCCTAAATTAAACTTTTGTTTAATTTCAACAAAAAATAAATTCTTGGGGTTCTTTGATATGCTGATTCTAACCATGTACTTTGATTTTGGATATTGGACCATTATAGGTAAATGTCCAATTTAAAAATTTTCAATTTTTTGACCACATTCATTTTGTGTAACAAACCTATGTTGTGTCAAATATTCAATCACAATCCAAACTCACAGCTGTTTTAAGTGTCCATACTTGCCCCAACTATTCATGGTTCGACCTCTGCGATCGTATCACCTTAGCATTTTATTTTAATTGAATTGGTTTTGTTTTTATAATTCAGGAGTTACATGAAAAATCCTAAAAATAATTATGTAAACTCATTTTTCAATTAGAATATCTCTTCTAAAGAAAGTAGAAAAAAATGCAGGATAATTGATATATTTTTTATTAGAGTAAATAAAAGATTATTCGACAAGACAAGATAAACACTTTATTTAAGTCCCAACACTTGTTAGAGATAAAATATACAACATAATAAAACAAAATCTACAAGTTAACATTATACAAGAAGTACTCTAGAAAGAGTTACGAGAGACTATAAAACAATTTTATTTACAAATAAAATTTTCGCTTTATTCATTATAACATTTCAATGCAGATTTTAGCAGTATAAAACAATCATATTTGTATTTGTAAAGAGAAATACCAGCTTTTCAGTATCAGGCACATATAAATAAGTTAAAAAAAAAACTGTCATTAACAACACGAGAAACATGTCTCTGAAAACATGAAATAATTAAAAGAACATCGTCCCAATGATCCCCACGTAGCAAATACTTATCTGTCCAACGGCAATAACTCAAAACAAGTAAATTTGGTGGATCTTTAAACTTTTAATAAATATGCTACAAGAATTATAGGCATGATGTCGAGAACATTAACAATGTTATTTATTTTAGTCTAATTTCGTTTAAAGTTTGAGAGTGCTTTCTATGAACTACTATGCAATGTTCAATATAAATTACATTTCGAAGAGACACAACTCCTGCAAAAATAATCGATCATCACTGATTATCGAACTCAAAGAATGATTGCTAATACAAATTTTATAACAATGGTACAAGTATGGTATAGGTGTGAAAGTACTTATAATTCAATTTTTATATAGCTTATATTTCCAAGGGAAATAACTCTTTCAAAATTAGTTGATCGGCACTGATTTTCGAACTTTTCCAAGCCATTGCTGATATAAACCTATGATATAAATTTATGACAATCCCTCAAGAAATGTATGTTGGCGCTCTACCCGAGGAATGTGCACTCTCCGACGACAGCCGAACGCCTGGTGGGACTTTACGGATCCCTGAAACCAAACGTCCGCCGCCCGACAACGGCATAATGAATTTCCCGGGCCGACTTTGCGGATCCACCCGTTTACCTCTAAGCGGTTTCACGTTCTCTTGAACTCTCTCTTCAAAGTTCTTTTCAACTTTCCCTCACGGTGCTTGTCCGCTATCGGACTCGTATCGGTATTTAGCTTTTGATGGATATTACCACCCGCTTTGGACTGCATTCTCAAACATCCCGACTCCAAGGAGGCTCTGATGCACGACAGCAGGTGCCGGTAAAGGCCTGACACCCGCTCTGGGAGAAGCCCCGATTAGGAGGACCAAGGCTGACCCGGACATCGCGCCAATAGACGTCCCAAACACCACAGTTCCCTGCAGGGCAAGGCTGCGAGATTCGGTGCTGAGCTCTTCCCGCTTTATTCGCCATTTCTAGGGGAATCCTAGTTAGTTTCTTTTCCTCCTCTTAGTGATATGCTTAAATTCAGCGGGTACTCTCGTCAGATATGAAATCGGATGATGATTGACTTTTAAAAAAGTCGATCTAATCGTGGTCTGCCGTCACTTTGATAAATGACCCTTTCTTCTTTTTGCCTCTCCCGTATGCTTTAGAATCGCTTTAGGCTGAGCTTGGTCAGGTTGGGAGCGCGGGAAAAACCCTAACGGGCCGTTTCCAAGACTGGCGTCCCCTCCACAGCTTTATAATGTATGACCAAATGAAGGTGTTAGATTGCTAATAATAAAATTTTCTTTTAAATTTATATTTCAAAGGGGCATAACCCTTGAAGAATAGTTGATCAGCACTGATTTTCGTACTCATCCGAGACATTGCTGATATATACCTATGACATAAATTTCATAAAAACCTGGAAAGAATTGTACACGTTAGAGCGCTTGCAACACCGGAAGCAAGGATGGATGGATGGACGGACACCCGGTATTTCTATGTCCCTGTACCGCGTAGCCCGGGAGAGATAAAACATTACGGATATATGCATATACATGACAATTTTAACAAAACATTGTTTTTAATCTTCAACTTCACCAGTATAATTAAAACATACTCTATTTCTACCTTAATATTTAGTTAAAGACTATAGTTGCAACTACGATTGACAGTATCTACCAGATATATTAAGAAATAAATAATTTCTACACCATGCACATTTTTTAACATACTATATGTACGTAATTTTTTTTATCATTTGACATAATTTTGTCATACCATTCTTATTACACGTCTTGTTTTATTATGAAAACATGTTTGATTGTCATGAAATAATAATGCCCCAAATGGCTGCTCTATTATTTTTTTTTTCTCATTAAAAATACTCTTTATATTTTTTCATTTATTCTCTCTTTTAGTTTCGATTTTATTCATTGTACATATACATGATATATGTGTACTGTATAGTTTTTCTGTTGTCCTACACTTAGTAATTCCTAAGGTATTTCCTGTGAAACAAACACCAACTGGACATACTTAATCTTAGATATGCTTTATCGTACCAATGATAATATACTGTACTTATAAGTTATGTTCAGTCAATTTACTTGTAAGTATTTATCTCCGTTTAGATTATAATGTCTTCGCTGAAAGAGATATGTGACGGTATCCCAGACCCTCTCCCACCGAGGCGTCAGAGGGATGATACAGTCCCACATGCACCGATCAGGACACCTGATCTAACACCGGCCGAACAGAGGGTAAGTTCGCACACTTTAATTATTGAGATCAATATAAGTTTTCTGTTCAATTTGTCTCGATCCTGTTAGTTTTGTTTACCTCCAGTCAAAGGTTCAAGAACAGTTGTGGACATAAGATTCCGGTACCCTCTTGTCTATGTACTGCACAATCTTTCACAGGGAAACCTCATAAATCATAAATAATTACTGACATTAGGTATATTTCATATTCCCTGACAATAGTGACTGGTTATATGATAGTACCCAATGACATTGTGCAGCTGTCTGAATACCATTAAGTATCTAAGATTTTGTGATAATACTTCAAACTAAACGGTAGATAAAACAATGTGATTTAATTAATGACCAAATTTACATTTACTTTCTAGCTAGCACTACAGAATGCACTACGATACTTTCCACCAGACCAGCATGAAATTTTAGCCCATGAGTTTGCCGATGAATTACGTAATTACGGCCATATATACATGTACAGGCTTTTACCTTCGTTTGATATGAGGTAAAATATACCATAACCAAAACTAGGAAATTATTTCGCTTTCTTCACTAGCCTCGATATTGTTTTTTGAAGCTATATGGTCATATGACCTGTACTGACATGACATATGATTGATACAGTAATTTTTTATAAATTTCTTGTTACTAAAGCGTTAATATCATTCAAAACACAAAGGTTTTCCTATCCCAATATATATATATGGCACTAGCCTGATTTGGCACAACAAATAGGAATTTTGCGTTTTCAACGCTCTTCAAAAAGTAAAATCACAAAAATACTGAACTCCGAGGAAAATTCAAAAAGGAAAGTCCCTAATCAAATGGCAAAATCAAAAGCTCAAACACATCAAACGAATGGATAACAACTGTCATATTCCTGACTTAGTACAGGCATTTTCTTATGTAGATTGAACCTGGTTTTATAGCTTATATGCAATTAATTTGGACTACTTACTGCGTGTATTCCAGTGCCAGGCCAACTGCTGAGTCTTTTTAGACGAAAAACTATAACAAAAATACCGAACTCCAACGTAAATTCGAAAAGGGGAAAAGTCTATAAAACTGACAAAATCAAACGTTAGACTTTATAACCCAACGGAACGAACAGAAAAAAAACTTGTCATATTCCTGACCTGGTAAAGGCATTTTTTGGGAAGTTAAACCTCATGCACTGCGTATTACATTATAAGACTGGTATCTTTGATGAGTTTTACAACCACTGGGTCGATGTCACTGTTGATGGACGTTTCTACCTCGATTTAACATTGGCGTAGCTTACGTTTAGGCAACCGAGGCAGTTAGTTGCCTCGGTAAAAAAAAAATATGAAAAAAAATAAAATTAAAAAACTTTTCTTCATAATCTTTTAAACAATTTTCACAAAATGCAGCAGACTCGTTACCAAACGCGTACACACCGACTTGTATTGTCTTGTTGCCGTTATTGATTCATACCCTTTCAAGACTTATGGAAACATTTCCTTCCTCTAATTGGAAATCCCTATCCATTTGCGGTAGTTTTCACTAATCTTAATATGTCAAAGTCAAAGAAATCGGCACAACTGAAGCTTGCAAATTTATATAATGCTACCCCAATCAACATCAGTATAATATATATGATCCAACTCATGAAGGTATGATTATCACCTGCCCAGTTGGGGGTGCTCTTATACTGACAAGGAATATCCTTGATACGGTCATTTCCGATGATTTTCTGATAGTATGGTAGTTGTAATCAATGTTCATTTGCTGTGCATGAAATACCAATAATTCGGTCATTATCTGTAAATTAACTGTTACTTAACCGTAAATATAATTTAGAACACTAAGGTTTTCCTACCCTTATACATATATGGCCTAAGTCTGAATTGGCACAACACTTGGAATTTTTGGTTTTTATTGCTCTATAACTTCGTAATTGGCCTTCCAACTGTTTGAATTCCAGCACCAGGTCCACTGCTGAGTCTTATGTAGACAAAACATGCGTATTACGTGTTATATTATAAGCCCGGTATTTTTTATTAAATTTTTACAACCACTGGGACGATGTCGCTGTTGATGGACGTTTCGACCCCGAGGGTTTAGTCAGTCCAGTTGTGGGTGCTTCTGTATTGACATGATAGAGCTTTAATACGGTCATTTACTGTGAATTTATTGTGATCGAAGAGTTAATAACATTCAAAAACGCTAAGGTTGTCCTTCCCCAAAACATATATGGCCTTAGCCAGATTTAGCACAACATTTTGAAACTTTATTTTCAAATTATCTTCATTTTTGTAGTTGATTTGGCCTTCCAACTGTTTGGATTTCAGCGCCAGGCCAACTTCTGATTTTCTTCTAGACGAAACGCGCGTATTATGTTTTACATTACAAGCCTGGTATCTTTGATGAGGTTTTTTTCATATACTTGACATATGAGTTTAAAGAACATCAATAAATACCTTAATGGGTATCCGTTTTATACATGTAAATACGCTTAAACCTGGTTTAAACAAGTAATTTTATTGTGCATTGGGCTGATTACTTAATTAACTATAACTTTAGTGTTGTTATCTGTTGTAGTGGTATTTCATACATTAGATGCACAAAAGAAAGAATGACCAGAAACGACTATCTTTAGTGTTTTTATTTTGTTTGCATCTATGTAATAGTATATTTTTACCTATATTTGTTTTATGTTATGAGAAATTGACAGGCTGTAACAAAACATAAAACTTCTTGCTGCTCCGTCTGTCAAGCAAATTAATGAAAACATTGTTTTCAAACATCAGTACTAGCGATTATTTAACCTTACGAGTTCCTTCAGAACATTTCTGGTTCGAATCTCTGCGTTTGAGAAATGTGGGGATTGCACGTTCTCCGAAAATGAAAGATTTCTTTAACAACAAATCTCAATAAGTGTCCAGTATGTGAATTGTTTTACAATTCATTTAGTAACTCTTAAATTAATTTAGCATTACAGGCAAAATTAGAATGCTAATGTCAACTTCTCATAACATAAAATTTACGGTACCAATTAGAATCGCATTTCGGTAATTTATGCATCTTCAGTGATGCCTGTAACGATTTAAATCAAATTTACCGAATGGTGTTTTCATCAAGTGATCGTCCTTTACTAGTATGTATAATTCCACTGGATGTTAAACGATTAAGTCAAATTTTATATGTTCCTGCTTTTGTATTTTTGTATTATCCTACTGGGACCTATCTTCGCTAGCCAAGGGTTACGATCCACTTCCCTCCTCTCCACGTGGAGAGGAGGGAAGTGGATCGTAACCCTTGGCTAGCGAAGATGACTGGCACCAAGTTTTGATTGTTTCTATATTTCTTTTCATAAACAAATTCAAAATATTTTTGTTTTCATGCTTCCTCTTTTGAGTCCCCTTTGATATTAGTATTACAGACTGCAAAATAGTAAGTATAGACATGGACGATAATTATGACGGTTTGGCTGTTTGAATTTAGGTGCAATGAAAGCCAAATATGCGATTTAGCAAACACTATATAATATAATCAACACTCAAATTAGAAAGAAGTTGTAAATCAAATTATAGTTTCAATTGTCACCACGCCATTTCAACTTATAAGGGTTGTTTATTGCAGAGCATATCCAATTGACGAGATACCTGGGAGAAACAGACAAGCAGCAGCAATCATCCATATGATACTTAATAACTTAGACCCTCATGTGGCCCAATTTCCACAAGAATTGGTTACATATGGAGGAAACGGGCAGGTTTTCTCGAACTGGGCCCAGGTATTACTTGAAAAAATAGTATTATGATTTTTAACACATTTTTTATACGCGTACGAAGATAGTCATTCATTAATGGTCAAATCAGTTACATCACGATTGGTGTGTGCAATTTGCTATACATGCAGAGAACGTAGAAGTAAGAGAACTTGGAGAACTCTCACTTGGAGAACAATAACCAGTACTTAATAAGCACTAGACTGAGGAAAATATTATCATTTTCTGTGTTCATAAATAGGAAAAGGACATGCATGTACATGGAACAGCAGTCAAAAATTTCCACTAAATACTAGAAGGGTACAATAGATAAATACATATGTGCAAGTAACAAAGGAAACGTTCAAACAATACGAACACCAAAAAAAAAATATTAGTGAAATCAGAGAGAAAACGATTTTCAGCTATTACAGGTTGAGAGTCTGCATTTGTTCGTGATAGTGAAAATGCAAGACTAACAGAAACTACATGAAAAAGTAACTCACTTAGAATTGAAGAAAAAATCATACATTAAGATTTATCTTCACGTTATAAGCATAAGATTAAAATATTGTAATAAAGTCTTATTTGTGAATAAACTCATACCAGAATTAAAATTTTGTACGCCAAATAGTATGTTTTTGACCTATTTTGTAAAGCCTTCCTGTTCTTTTGAAATTTCTTTTAATTGTACACATCTCATAATGACGATATGTTTGATTCAGTTTTGGATCACCCTCTCCTACCTCTCAGAAATGTCTGAAGAACAAACGTTAGTGATGTACTCCGGTCATCCAATGGGACTATTCCCAAGTAGCCCGGCAGCACCAAGGCTCGTTATAACTAACGGTATGGTAGGTACACATTATTCAGTTTCTTTTCTGCTTATTCAGTACACTGTGTCCTTGTCTTTCATAAGCACCAAGTCTTATCATCAACAACCTAATGGTATGTTTATTTAAACCTTGTACACACTGGTCATAGTATGGACTATATCAAAGTAGCACTGAAAAATTTGTATAACCAGCAACACTGAAAGTATTCTTCATTGTTGTTTTATGTTGGACCATTTCCAAGCAGTATAATAGTCCAACACTTGAGATAACCAAATTGAATGTCTTTACCTGTTTATGATACAAATGGGAGGTTTACCTAGCTATAAAACCCGGATTAACCAACCATTTTTTTCCAGGAAAATACCTATGACAGTTGTTTTTCATTCGTTCCGTTGGTTGAAAAGTCGAGCATTTGGACTTTCCTTTTTTTTAATTTACCTTGGAGTTCGATATTTTTCAAATCAAACGATAAAACCCCAGGAAAAAACAAATAAAAGTTTTTTCACGGTTTTATATGCGGCCAAAACAACAACAACATGTAAACTAGCTATAAAACAGATTTTACCCACCATTTTCTTCGAAAAATGCCTGACCATATCCGGAATATAGCAGTTGTTTTTCACTTGTTCCGTTGATTGATAAAGTTTGATTTTGTCAGTTTTCATGGACTTCCCCTTTTGTAGTTGCCTTTGAGACTGGTATTTTTATTATACTTTTTTAATATGATCCTTCTTTTACCCTGCATACTCTGAGATTCTGGAAACAAACAAATTATGTAGTTGCAACCTCCAAATTCCAAAAAAAACCAAACAAAACAGACGACGACGGGCCTATGACAAAAATACAATACTCAAATATTATTGGTATCATTTGATACTGTTCTCTCTAATGAACAAAATTTCAGCTTTTTTAAACAAAGTTTATGATGAATTGTGGATTGTCTTCCAGCAGTCAATACTAGGACAAAATGTGAATTATGAAACACCTATTAAAGAATAAAGTAACAATCTTTTTTTTTAATGTATTTTATGAATAACAAATCGTTTTGGTTTAAAAAAAAGTATCAATACTTTGTCCTATTACCGAGAACAAACTCATTAAATTTTTTTTTATATTATAGGTCATACCAAACTACTCATCAAGAGAAATGTACGAGAAAATGTTTGCACTCGGAAACACAATGTAAGTTTTCTTTTTTAAACTGAGTTAATTCTAAATACTGTTTTTGGGTGCATGATATTGGAATGATTACATCTCTACCTGAACATAGGCTACAAATGAAATTCTAAATAACGCGAGTAATGGTTGGTCATTGGTAGATTGTACGAAAACTGATAGAGTAGTTTTAACTGTTTCATTTTTAATCAGGTATGGTCAGATGACAGCTGGTAGTTTCTGCTATATAGGACCACAAGGGATAGTTCATGGCACAACGGTAAGCTAAATTATACTGAAGTTGTGATTCTAAGTTTTCCTCCGAACATGGATTTACTGATTGACAACGCCGCTTTATGGTGAACGATACAGAAATGAAAGTCCAGACTCTCTATTGTCAAACGGATAAAGAATATATTATTAATATACATAAAAAAAACTTTAATGATCTTCATTGACGACTTTTTAATGTTCAATATATAAATACTACATTCAAACAAATCTTATTTCTTGATGTCACATCTCACTTTAATATTTTAGTTGACAGTACTGAATGCAGCTAGGCGACATCTGGGTACCACGGATATGAGGGGAAAGGTAAACCAGCATTTGTTTATTTACAAATTTACAAAGACAATTTTTGCTATATTTTAAGCGTAACATTAGTTTGCCTTCATCAAAATAGACCTTCCGAATATACTTTCTTTTCTTTTTATAATTTGTTATTTTCACACAATCATTTTTGTGAGATGCTTGACGGCTGATCAAAACATTATTATCATTATTAATATTTGCATATTTTATGTTTATCGACATTTATGAAAATATAAAATTAGAAGATACCAAAGTTCAATTATTAAACAATATGCGCATTTCGAAAATATTTGTCTTCAGTGGTGATCGAAACCAAATATTCGAAAATCTAGAAGTTTCAAATATAAAACAGCAAAAAACACAAAAATCTAGTTGCAGAAAACCGGTATAATGTAATGATAACCTTATATTGTTTTGATAATTAAAAGAGTATAAAATGTATGAGTATACACTGTTATTCTAACAGCCAGTTCCCGAGAAGATAAAATGTATATATAAATATAAATTCGATTTTAGGTGTTCGTTACATCTGGATTGGGTGGAATGAGTGGGGCACAACCAAAGGCAGCAACAATATGTGGATGTATAAGTGTAACAGCTGAGGTACACCTGTTCAATATCAAACAAAACATTTTTTATAGTCTCTCGTAACTGAAAATGAACAAATAAAAAAATGCTGGAGGGGTCATGTCCCTAGTTATACGACCGCAAAAATTTAAAAATTTTTGGTCGTATATTGGTATGACGTTGGCGTCGTCGTCGTCGTCCGAAGACACATTGGTTTTCGCACTCTAACTTTAGTTTAAGTGAATGGATCTCCGTGAAATTTTACCATAAGGTTCAATACCACAAAAGGAAGGTTGGGATTGATTTTGGGGGTAATTGCCTCAAAATTTTAGGAATTAGGGGCCAAAAAAGGGGCAAAAAACAAGCATTTTTCTAGTTTCATGATAATAACTTGTGTGTAAGTGTATGGATCTTTCTGAAATTGAACTACAAGGTTCCATATCACAAAGGGAAAGCTGGAATTGAGTTTGGGGGCAAAAATAGCATTTTTCTAGTTTCCAGACAATTACTTGTGTTCAAGTGTATGGATCTCTCTGAAATTGTACTGCAAAGTACCATACCACAAAGGGAAGGCTGGGATTGATTTTGGGGGTAATTGCCTCAAAATTTTAGGAATTAGGGACCAAAAAGGGGAAAAAACAAGCATTTTTCTAGTTTCAGGACAATAACTTGTGTGTTAGTGTATTGATCTTTATGAAATTGTACTACAAGGTTCCATATCACAAGAGGAAAGCTGGGTTTGAGTTTGGGGGTAATTGCCCTAAACGTTTAGGATTTTGGGGCCAAAAAGGGGCCTTAAAACAAGCATTTTTCTAGTTTCCAGACAATAACTTGTGTTCAAGTGTATGGATCTCTCTGAAATTGTACTGCAAGGTACCATACCACAAAGGGAAGGCTGGGATTGAGTTTGGGGGTGATGAATCATAAGGGGTTTTAAAAAATTTGGGGGGGGGGGGATTTTTTGTTTTCCTTTTTTTCTTTTTTTCCTTTTTTTTTTTCTTTTAAAATTTTCCATTTTAAGTTGGTTATTTCTGATTTATATTTAAAAGCAAATAATAATGATATGGTAGGAGATACACACCAAACAGGATGTGTAAATTATTATATAATAAGTATTGTACAATAGCAAGAAATTTTCAATTGCACAGTATTGCACAATAGCAAGAAATCTTCCATTGCACAGTATTGCGCAATAGCAAGAAATCTTCAATTGCACAGTATTGCGCAATAGCAAGAAATATCCAATAGCACAATATTGCGCAATAGCAAAAAAATGTCAATTGTACAGTATTGCTCAATAGTAAGAAATATTCAATTGCACAGTATTGTGCAAAAGAAGATACTTCGTATAAAATGCTTATTTCTTGACCTATTTCAATGGGGTTTTATTCTTGAATTCTTGGGGTTCTTTAATATGCTGAATCTAACCGTGTATTAAGTTTTTGGATTTTGGGCCCCGTTTTTAAATTGGTCCACATTGAGGTCCAAAGGGTCCAAAATTAAACTTTGTTTGATTTCATCAAAAATTGAATTATTGGGGTTCTTTGATATGCCGAATCTAACCGTGTATTTAGATTCTTAATTTTTGGTTCCGTTTTCAAATTGGTCTACATTAAGGTCCAAAGGGTCCAAAATCAAACTTAGTTTGATTTTAACAAAAATTGAATTCTTAGGGTTCTTTGATATCCTGAATCTAAACATGTATTTAGATTTTTGATTATGGGCCCAGTTTTCAAGTTGGTCCAAATCGGGGTCCAAAATTAAACTTTGTTTGATTTCAACAAAAATTGAATTATTGGGGTTCTTTGATATGCTGAATCTAACCATGTATTTAGATTTTTGATTTTTGGGCCCCGTTATGAACTTTGTCCACATTGAGGTCAAAACGGTCCAAAATTAAACTTTGTTTGATTTCATCAAAAATTGAATTATTGGGGTTCTTTGATATGCTGAATCTAACCATGTATTTAGATTTTGGATATTGGACCATAATAGGTGAATGTCCAATTTAAAATTTTTAAGTTCTTAGACCACATTCATTCTGTGTCAGTAACCTATGCTGTGTCAAATATTCAATCACAATCCAAATTCAGAGCTGTATCAAGCTTGAATGTTGTGTCCATACTTGCCCCGACTGTTCAGGGTTCGACCTCTGCGGTCGTATCAAGCTGCGCCCTGCGGAGCATTTTATTTTTATTTTGCTTTCATGTTCTTTTTTTTTTGTTTTGACTATTATTATTTTTTTGTTTGAAGTTGTCACACTTTCACACTATTTATTTTCTCTTTAATGAAATACTATACTGATTTAACAATTATAGCGTATTTAAATGCTTTCGTGGATATGCATACAGTGTATGCCTCGTAAAGAAACCAATACTTCAACTAGAAAATACAAAAAGTAAACCAAACGTTGTAACTATATATTCCACAGTGTTTAGTCGATGATAGTTTTTAAGATAAGCGGTTTTCTGTTATGCTTCATTTTGAGTCGTTATCAAAGCAGTAAAGCTGTAAAAATGAGCTGCTCTTATTCAACTGCTTTGTTGTTGTTCTTGTGTTCTTGTGTTCATTGTCAATTGTAATTGAAGCAGAAAATTTACACAAATACGAAAAAAAAATGATCACCTTAAAATGATATTAAAACTCCAGAAAGCGTTTCCACACCCAAATACATTAAACGTGTGTAAGCAACAAGTTAGTATTATCATTTTGGGAAAATGACACTACCACTGTTATCAAGCATCTGTAAAATATCAAGATTGTCAGAATAATAATCAAAGTAACAAAAGGAGAAGATAGTGAATTTTAAATGTGGCTTTTTATCACTTAGGTAAGTAAAGAGGCTTTAGAGAAACGCCACAACCAAGGATGGGTTGCAACCATCGCAAACAACTTGGACGAATGTATTGGTAAAATACGACACGCAAGACGTCAGAAAGAAGCTATCAGCATTGGGTATCATGGAAATATTGTAGATTTATGGTTAGTATGTTAACATGATGATTAATAACCAATTCTTTTTTAATTACTAGTATGTTTTGTCTGCATTCAGTTTATTTTCTTCTAAAAAATATACGCAAAAAGTGAATGGTATATACGGCTAGGAAAATTGATAATAGCAAATATAGTATATATATTCTAGAATATCTGGACCACATTCTCAGCACGTTTTCGACAACAAAAAATTTATCAATTATTCAAAAAAATAATTTAAGTGTCTTTTAACCAAGAAAAGTTATTACTATAGTTATTTTTTTATACTGATAGGGAAAGATTCGTAGAAGAATATGAGAATACAGGCGATCTATTAGTAGAACTAGGTTCAGATCAAACCTCATGTCACAATCCATATCTTGGAGGATATTATCCTGTGCAGGTATTTTACAAATGTTGATCTGTGGGCAATTGCTCACTGATAATACCCCGCTATAAGTATTCGGTGAACAGGAAGTTGATAAGCGATGGTTGAAAAAATGCATCACTCGGTTGAGCATGCTCACATAAAGTTTGATTCCAGACCGGTAGACCCTGGGAAAGTTGCGACGAAAATTTCATATATATTTGTAAGAATATGACAAAATTTAATGTACATTTAAACAAAATGTACATTTTTCATATTGTTACACAAACTTGGACAAATTTACGTCATAGGCTGGGCAGTTGGTATGTCTCTACTCACGATAGAAGAACTGAGATCATCGTATGGGTCTCAAATTGTAGAAATAAGAATATGAAAGTGTTCGATTAACAGGAACGTAATGAGTGATAAATGTGAAAATGCATCACATTGTATAGTATGCTTACATGAACCTTGGTACCAATTGTTAGGAAGTTCTTATTTGTAGTTCCTGAGAAATAGGCGAAGAAATTTTATAGGACGGAAACACGGTCGGAAGGATGGACAGAAACACGGACAGACGTAAACCAGTATACGCCATTTCCTTCTTTGCAGCGGGGGTATAAATATGAAGTTAAAATTCACACAAAAACCAACAAAATTGGATCGAAATGATCGACATCGCAATGTCTCAAACCGAAGTGATATCAGCTCTGGTGACAAAGTATTTGCATAAAAGCATTTCCTTTTAAGTGTGCGTCATTATGCGATTCTAGGGTCATATCTAGTAAAAAGTGTAACGGAAAGTAATACAACAAAGCAAGTAAAAATACTAATAATATAAAACAGATGATAGATAACTTGTAAGGTCTATTACAGTATTTATACATTTAAACTTCACAAACCAACCTATTCGATTATATTAAGTCGGTCTTCCCTGTTGAAGTAGCTTTTCTTGTTAAAAGTTCACCACTTTATTGGTAAATTCACTATATGTATCATGAATACATTCTCTTGTTGATAGCACAAACTTGGACAAATTTACGTCATAGGCTGGGCAGTTGGTATGTTTCTACTCACGATAGAAGAACTGAGATCATCGTATGGGTCTCAAATTGTAGTTTTGAGTTGCACTTTTTGTCAATTTGGAAAAGGTATTATACTCAAATCTTCTCATCTCTAAAATTTCAAATCAAAGTTTAATTAAAACAAATTATACTTATCTGCACAACGTTTCTTACCTGTAAAGAAATATAAAAATATACTTGACCTATACCCATTTTTTACTCATTGTAACGGTACACCATGTGGACCACGAATTTGACGCTCAAATCCCATATTTCAGCTAACGTATGATGAGTCGAGGATTATGATGCATGAAGATCCAATAAGGTTCAAGAATCTAGTACAGGAAAGGCAAGTTTAAAACAAACACAGAAACTATCGTACAAACAAAAATATGCCCAAAATTGCTATCTCCGTTTACCATTCTTATAGAAGAAACCCAAACTCCAGTTAGCGAAACATAATCCAAATGAAATCTTTGTTAAAGAAAAGTATATAAGATCTTACAAATGAGAACGAGGAATACATTAACGATATAGTTATAACATATGTATTTATTGTTAAACTTAAAATTTATTGTCCGAAGACAAAACTCATCGAGGATAACATGTTTATAATTTTGTACGCAACACGCGGGTTTCGTTTACAAAAGACTCATCAGTGACGCTCCAAACAAAAACATTATTAGGCCAAATATAGTAATAAGTTGAATTACACAATGACATTGATATCATACGTATATTTTGGATAAAAATATCAAATAATTTGTTTCTATACAGGCGTACTTAAGCATTTTAAAACTTTGACAATAAACTGGAATCATAGTTGCCATTTTGTCTTTGTTTTAGCCTCAGAAGACAGGTCACAGCAATCAATAAGCTGTCTAACCTTGGACTGTATTTTTGGGACTATGGAAATGCGTTTCTTTTGGAAGCTTCAAGAGCGGGTAAATACTGACATTTTTTAGGACTACTATAATAGTAATGAAAATAAATTCAAAAAAGAAAATATAATAATTTAGTGTGTTTTTCATATTGAGAACCTAAGTGACCGGGTGGTCTAGAAAATTTTGTAAATATCCAAATTCATGTACAGGTCATTTTGCTTTCGTTTTAATGTCGATCGTATTATGCCAGAAAGAGCAATTTACACTAAATCTATCAGTTGTTTGTTCTCAGCTTTTTATCGCAAGTCGATGGTTTACACCGAAAAAGTAAGAAAACTGTTAGTGGCAATCAAAAGAATAAGTCGAAAAAAAATCATAAAAGATAAACAAGACATACTATACGCAGGAAACATAAATTGTAGCCAACGAATGCCATGAAAAACCAGAGGTGAACTCAGGTACTCCGTAAGGGAAAGCATTTCTAGCTCCAATAATGGGCTTCCATCGAATTGTTGCTCCTTTCTGTGCCATATCACAAACGAAGCAAATAATCAAAGGACTGGGGCTATGACAAACGGAACATATTCTTGATCATCTATGACACTGAAATTCTGCAGAGCTCAACCAAGTAGGGTGAAATTTTTGCATAACTCTACATTATGTCTATCACTATATTTTCAGGAGCTGACGTAGGAAGAGATGAAAGTGCCACTGGAACCTTGTTCCGCTATCCATCATATGTACAGGACATTATGGGAGATATATTTTCTTTGGGATTTGGTCCGTTTAGGTATTGTTCGTTTCTTATGTCAGTACATCTAATAGTAACCAAGAGTGCTCTATCAATGATATATACTACTCTCATATAAAAGATTCTGATTCAACCAGAAAAAAAACCAATTGTGTCATAATAACTCTACATTTAAACATCTGCGCAAGTATTGTGATTATCCCATTGTGAAACGGATCAACCCACTTCCCTTGTATAAGAGAAAACGATTCACCTATATTGGATCGCAAAAGCTTTGGTTAAACACTTAAACTTCAACTTCCAAGACACTTATTGGAATCTATCAATAGTTCTCTTATGAATTATGCAACAATTCGGATTAAAAATGAAAGGGTTTTCATTTGATCATCAATTTAAGTTTCTTTTCAAGCTTGTGTAAAAGAGAGGCGAAAGATACCAAAGTGACATTCAAACTCATATTAAAGTCAAAAATAAACTGACAACACCATGGCTAAAACAGAAAAAGACCAACAGACAAACAACAGTAGACAAAACGCAACATAGAAAACTAAAGACTGAACAACACCAACCCCACCAAAAACTTGGGGTGATCTCAGGTGCTCCGGAAGGGTAAGCAGATCCTGCTCCGCATATGGCACCCGTTACTTGTAATTTGTAATTTGGTAAAATAACATTTTCATTCATCTTTAGTTAATTTAAAAAAAAACCCAGTATAAACGATTTTTTCATACCCTTTTACCTAAGAAATAAGTTTAATTCGTAACTCTTTATATAACATCGTGTTTGAAGTATTCTGTTAAGTTTTAATCATAAATGAAAATATCAAATGAAAGACCAAAGGAAAAATTATTGCATCAGCACTATATTAGAAGGGATAGAAAAAGTTATATTCCTTGATCATTGAGGAATAATTTTTACTTTGTAATGTGAATAAAAATAAATTTTGCCTAATACTTTCTACTATTGTGGTACTTTTTGGAATACGTTCTATATGCAGATGGGTGTGTACATCAGGATGTCCGAGTGACTTGGACACAACGGATGAAATTTCAGCCAATGTCTTGGAGGATATTATAAATGAAGGAGGTAAAAGGGCGGCTTAATATGAAATAGTGCTAGGGAATCAATTATTATTGATTAAAAGAAGGGTCGCTGTTTTATAAACAAAAACAAAAAAATTTATCGACTAATTTTGAAAAACAAATGGTTTTATTGCTTTGAAAATTGATATGACTAATTTTTTTCCTGATTGGTATATTATTGAATCAAAGTTAAACAAAACAATGCTGATTTTATGCATTAAAAAGAATCTTGAATTTACACAGAAAAGTAATATTTGTTATATCGGGTCCTGAATAGAAAGTAACATTTTCCTAACGACTGACAGAACATAAACTCACCATAGATACAGTCATGATTAAAAGTTTGTACGCCAGAAGCGCGTTTCGTCTACAAAAGACCCACCAGTAAGGCTCATATCAAAAGTTAAAAAGGCCAAATAAAGTACGAATTTGAAGAGCATTATTTGCGTAATATTATAAGGCCAATAACAAAAAAGATATATTCTTGAGTTCATTTTTCGAAAGTTATTCATACAGTGTATGTAACAATACCACTTTTAACTAGACTTATAAGATTCTGTGTAAAAATTGTTTTTTCTCAAGTTAAGTTTTATATATTTTTTTAAAAGATTTTTTGTCGAAAACTGTCATTATGGCACTGATATTTCAGTTCCAGAAACTATAAAACAACAGTACAATGATAATATAAGATGGATTCGTGAAGCAAAGAATAATAAATTAGTAGTTGGATCACAGGCACGAATATTGTATTCAGATCAAGTGGGCAGAACAAAAATAGCCACTGCTTTCAACAATGCTGTCAAGGACGGTAAACTAAAGGTAAGAAGTATTTAATTGTGAGGGTGATGGAACTTGAAGAATAACAGAAGATGCTTAACGATGTCGAAGCACCCGGTCTCGCTCCTTTTGGAGTTCGTGCGATTGCTACACGTTTTCTCTTAGTTTTGTATAATTAAAATGAATTTATTGGTTTTGAACTTCTGTAAAGTACTTTTGCGTCTTATTTTGCATTCATGTAGTAGTTTTTTTTCAATTTTTATGCTGCATCTGCAATCTTAGTTACAAGGGATATTTTTTATCAATTGCATGGTTTTGCATTTATATTTGTATATAGTGATTTTTGAACATTTTAGCACAAACTATAAGATAAGATATATTTTATTACCAATTAAGGACCCACAAGGGGCAAACTATATATTTTCACAATCTTGTACTACTTTCAGGGTCCGGTTGTTATTAGCAGAGATCACCATGATGTCAGTGGTACAGATAGTCCATTCAGAGAAACTTCCAATATATATGACGGTTCAGCATTTTGTGCAGGTTAAATTCAGACACACTAATTTGAATTTGTCTGTGTCTTGTCAATAACCTTTCACGTATTTAATTCTGCGTTTCATGCTTTAAAAAAATGAACTTTGACACTATTGGTTCTTCAATGGATATCATAATTGCTGATCAGGTTGTAAAATATATATTGAAGTATCATACTTTAAATATACAATAATCGTTTATTTTGGAAATCTTTTTAAATTAAAGAATGGTTCTCCCTTATGCATAGCTCTGATTCTTTGTCCATATTTTGCTTCAAAATGAAAATGACAGTCGAGTATCAATGAAGAGACATTAATTGTCGAAATGTGCATCGGGTGCAGTAAAATTGGGACCGTTAATCTATTTCTAGTATAAATACTAAACACTTGCAATTTCGAGATTTTTTTTTAACACGAAACGGTTGATTCTGGACATATATTCCTTAAAACACATTTTAATATTTTAATATCAGTTAATGGTGGGATTCGTGTTGCTCAGTCTTTAGTTTTCTATTTTGTGTTTTGTGTACTGTTGTTTGTCTGTTGTTTTTTTTTTCTTTTTTAACCATGGCGTTGTCAGTTAAGGTAGCACAATACAAAGATTTTTTTACTTCCAATCTCCAACCTTGAAAATGCTGTTACTTTCTAAAATATGCATATAAATTAATAAAAGAGGTACATATAGATAGATAAAAGATTAATCTTTTAAATGAATGCAATATTTTTGTTATGCAATCATTATGTAATCAATTATCATGCAATTAATGGCAAAATCTTGGTCAGTTCACTTGAATGAATTTAGCTCTTTCATCTCTATAACTATACAGGAAATTTTAACGAAATCTTAATCAACACAGCAGGAGCTACAAAGGGGTGTCTCAAATTATCGCTATGGTATTCCATTCTCTCATAAATCTGTAATTAGTGTAAACATCCTTACCACATAAAAGTAGATGATGTTTGATTAGGTGTAAAATTTTATCTATACATTCTATCCAAAATCTGAGACACCCTTTTGTAGATAATGGCTCTAGGAACAACATATAATAAAATCAACCCTCTAGGGGTTACCATGAAGAAGCTAATTTCAATTGAAAGTGGAAATTTCTTGAAAAGTTTTGTAGACACAGTTAACATTATAATTGATTACATAATTGTTGTATGATACTAACATTGCATTAATTTGAAAGAGTAATCTGTTAGCTATCCATAAATACCACTTTTATAAATTTTCAAGCATTATAAAGAAAGTTACAGCATTTTAAAACTGGGGAATTGGAGGTATAAAATCTTTGTATTGTGCTACCTTAAATTTCGACTTATGAGTTTGAATGTCCCTTTGGTATCTTTCGTCCCTCTTTTAATGATCACAGCACCCAATCACAAACGAAATGATGGTCAATCGAAAATGATAAGTCAAATTAAAACAGACAAATCAATGACACAGATGAAAATTCGGACCAATGCAGACGAATAAATGCAAGTTCAGTACAAACTTCTTAAAACCCCTACTCAAGAGCTAAAGAGGGGCGTCCGTTATGTAACACTTACAACTGAATTTACTCATAGTAACAAAGCACTTTGGAGAATTTTTTTTATTCTATAGATATGGCAGTCCAGAACGTAATAGGTGATGCATGCCGAGGAGCCACATGGGTTGCCTTACACAATGGTGGTGGCTGTGGATGGTAATATGTTAATCAAATATTATCAATGTCCGGTGAAATAGATTAAAACGAATTTTAATAGGAATACTCATATAGATTAAAAAATCAGAATAAAAGAAATATCAGTGCAAATACATATTGCAAGAAAATGTATCATCGGAAAATGAAATATGAATGCCTTTTCTACAGCACAAAAAGATAGAAAGCAATTCCAGTCGAACAAATAAGGTATATAAAAAAATAATATTATTACACTGCTTTTTAGGAAGAATGAAAATAAGCTAGAATTATCCTTGAACTTCACTTTCCGCTATATAGATGATGTCCTCTCTAGAAAAATGAAAACAACACGTAAATAATTCAATGTTTGGAAACTCGGTTGAACGCATCTATCCCATAGAACTTGAAATAAAGGATACAACAGATACAGTTAAGTAAGCCTCATATCTTGATTAACATCTAGAATTGATAATGAGGGTCGGTTGTGGGCAAAACTTTACGACAAAAGAGATGATTTCAGCTTCCCAATAGTGAACTTTCCATTTCTATGTAGCAACATTCCAGCAGCTCCTTCAAATGGAGTCTTTAGCTCCCATTTGATACGATATTCAAGGGCTTGCATTTCCTATTCATGATTTCCTTGATAGAGGTTTGCTGCTCACAAGGAAGCTATTTAACTAAGAGTTCAAAGTGGTAAAGTTGAAATCATCCCTTCGAAATTTTTACGGACGCCATCACGAGTTGGTTGACCGTTATGGAATATCAGTTTCACAGATGACGACGGATATGTTCCAATTGTCGTAACCACAATCCTATCCCCGAATGTGACTTATCACCGGGATTGTAATTACACGACACGACAGGTGCCACAAATGGAGCAGGATCTGCTTACCCTTCCAGAGCACCTGATATCACCCCCGGTTTTTGGTGGGGTTCGTGTTGCTCAGTCTGTAGTTTTCTATGTTGTGTTTTGTTTACTGTTGTTTGTCTTTTGGTCTTTTTCGTTTTTTGCCATGGGTTGTCAGTTTATTTTCGACTTATGAGTTTGAAAATCCCTTTGGTATCTTTCGCTTCTCTTTTTCTATCTTTTTTGACGGTTTCAGCTTTTGCCAGATTCTACAGGAATTTTCTGACAAAACATTATTATTTTCAGGGGTGAAGTTATAAATGGAGGATTTGGATTGGTGCTTGATGGTACACAGGTATATAAATATCTACAATCAACTTATATTTCATTTCAAAGAATGATACTTATTTGCAAACATTTTTAACTTTCCTGGAGTAAAACTGTTATTGAAAATATTTTTTTCCCATTGGTTTAGGGGGAGTTTAATAATACAAAATGCAGAAGAACAAACAAATTACTTAAGTTGAATGGACAATCAAACATATACCTACAAACTCAGCAATGACGTGTAGTTGCTTTCATGGAGGTCTTTTGGACAGGTGGATAGTTATCAAATTGGCAATCATGCTCCATTTCCTTGTTTTTATATACACAACAATCATTATACAGCTACAAGGTAGTTAAATTCTGCTTAACAATCAATCTTTCTAAGAGAATGTTTAAAAATTTAAAGAATGCACCAATCTAAAATCTTTCTAAAGGCACTGGTTTATCATATTTCCCATAATTGAATAATGAAGATCTTTGCACTGAATTAAGACTTTTATTACTTTGACTGACTGTATATAATGCAACCCTACCCTTGAAGTATAAACCTCTTGATTTACCTGTTACATAATTGGATATTACAAACTGCAATTTGGTTAAAAACTATTAGACTGAAAGGCAGGGCAGCAACACTTCAGAGTGAAATCACAATAATATCATTCATGTGACTGACTATTAAATTTATTTCAGGATGCTGGCGACAGAGCACAAAAAATGTTGGCCTGGGATGTATCAAATGGGGTAATTCATTTCATTTAAACATCTGGTCTGATGTCAGGCATTGACCAAGCATTTTATTACTATGATATATTGTTCCATATATATTCACAACTTCAGTTTGCCCTGCTCCTTATATTTGAATGTTGCATGGATATCATTTCACAATTTTGCTCTGAAAATACTGTTAACATAAAGGGGTTTGCTAATCAAGCTTTGATTGCAGATATCTACTTTTACACTTTATACAATATGAACAGTTTTCCAGTGGTTCTTTTTTTCAAGTTTTTGTATGAAGTGCAAAAATAGCAAAAAGCACTGACTAAGATTCATACAAAATATAACATCTACGTCATTTGGTCTCTAGTAGAGAGTTGTCTCGTTGGCAATCATACCATATCTTCTTATTTTTATAATGAGAAAACAATTCTACAAAACTGTTCAATGTATAACCCTATGTCCTAGTGTGTATTGAGCATATAGGGCATGGTTCAAACACATTAGTAAATTAGTTCTTATATGGTCTTTGACACATTCCCCATTTCCATTCTAAATTTTAGTATTTAACCATAGTAAATTAGATCATACAATCCATGGTAGTGTTAACTAAGAATGAGTCCTCACTTACATGTCTAATACAAGAGATAAATAAGTTACCTAAAATGGTGTGTAAATGTGTGTGGCCTCAGAGATTTCAACAGTACCCACCAAATTCAGAAATAATATAAATAATCTTCAAAATATCAGCAAAAACTTTTCTTTTATTCCAATATAGTGTTCCATACACAATAAAGCATTTTCTAAGAAGTGAGTATACCATCTTTGGCTAATTTGTCAAATGTAAATGACATATGATCCAAAAGAAACAATTACCACAATAAAAACTGGAAGCAAAATATCCAAGCAATGAGAAAACATCTAATTATACAGCCATATCTAACTAAAATTGACCATTGCAGGTTGCTAGAAGATGTTGGTCAGGTAACAACAATGCAGAAGAGACAATCTGTAGAACTATGGACCATAACAAATCACTGAAAGTTACATTACCAAATCATGTTCAGGACCTGGATCTATTAGACAGGGCATTACAGGAGTAAATGGGCAAATAAGACAGAGCTTTACAGGAATACAATTAACTGAACAGATACAGCTTGGAACAGATTTCTCCCACTGATGGAATCAATTCAACTTGTACTTATATCTTGCAGTTGATATTAAGAAAATTCATCATTGACTGGATGCAAGCTGGCAATGGGTTTTATGGTGATGGCTTTTATATAAATCATTAAATGAATGTCAAAAAACTTCTACCTATTTGATTTAATAAATACATGAAGTTTATACTGTTTTGTTGGTATCTGTACATGTAACACAAGACATTTCATTTATTATATGTACAACTTTTCAATCAAGCACCATTTTTATCTCTGCATTTCAAGTGAAAATAATACTTTTGTCTCTCTAAAGGAAAGACCTACCGCCTGATGCACCCAGTGTCATCGATCAATGTATCTTGAAAATTTTGGACCATTCGGAATTCAGTAGCATTCATATTTGATTGCTCTGTATTAAATTCTGTATATTTGATAAGGTTCATCTACTGGGCTGTCCTTGAGGTGCTGTTTTCCTGAAGTTATTAAAATGTTCTAGATACTGATTAACTGTGTCAGATGGAGAATATACAGGATCTGTTTTATTTTTTATGTACATGGGTGGATTGTCTGCTACATTTCCCACAATGCTTTGTGCCATTTCTTTGATGAGATTCCAACAATCACCAGCTACTACACATGGACAGTATTCTACCTATAATATATGAAATAAAATTTAATCATCATCTATTGTGGGAGATAATAATCGATTAATGATCAGCAATGCTCATTTAAACTCACAAAAAAATAAAGTTTATTCTTGAAACAAGCCCATATGTCTTCTCCTTTTCATCTATCTAAGTAACAAAGGACAGTTACTCTTAGAAAATATATTCTTTTCAGACGAAAACTTTTGCACTGATAAGTTTTCTTCAAGTTTTCTCCAATTCATGTGTACACTGTAGGATATTTTGTATTGATAAAAAAATGGTTTTGTTCTGATGATAAATAATATAAAAGGTGTGCAACTAACTATTTATGTTTTAATTGTATCAAAAATTTGTTGCCATGTTTCATTCAGTTCCAATATAAACATGGTAAACTGTGTGTTGACAAAAAATCCAAGCATTAAGGAATAAAAAACTAATAGTGATTATACATGTATTGCTATGGGAAAATCCCAAAGTCATTCTGATAGCACTTACAGCTCCTATTGAAATAAAATGCTCCGCAGGGCGCAGCTTGATACGACCGCAGAGGTCGAACCCTGAACAGTTGGGGCAAGTATGGACACAACATTCAAGCTTGATACAGCTCTGAATTTGGATTGTGATTAAATATTTGACACAGCATAGGTTTCTGACACAGAATGAATGTGGTCTCAGAACTTAAAAATTTTAAATTGGACATTCACCTCTTATGGTCCAATATCCAAAATTTAAATACATGGTTAGATTCAGCATATCAAAGAACCCCAAGAATTCAATTTTTAATGTAATCAAACAAAGTTTAATTTTGGACCCTTTTGACCTCAATGTGGACAAAGTTGATAACGGGGCCCAAAAATCAAAAATCTAAATACATGGTTAGATTCAGCATATCAAAGAACCCCATATATTCAATTTTTGTTGAAATCAAACAAAGTTTAATTTTGGACCCCGATTTGGACCAACTTGAAAACTGGGCCCATAATCAAAAATCTAAATACATGTTTAGATTCAGCATATCAAAGAACCCTAAGAATTCAATTTTTGTTTAAATCAAACTAAGTTTAATTTTGGACCCTTTGGACCTTAATGTAGACCAATTTGAAAACGGAACCAAAAATTAAGAATCTAAATACACGGTTAGATTCGGCATATCAAAGAACCCCAATAATTCAATTTTTGATGATATCAAACAAAGTTTAATTTTGGACCCTTTGGACCTCAATGTGGACCAATTTAAAAACGGGGCCCAAAATCCAAAAACTTAATACACGGTTAGATTCAGCATATTAAACAACCCCAAGAATTCAAGAATAAAACCCCATTGAAATTGGTCAAGAAATAAGCAATTTATACGAAGTATCTTCTTTTGCACAATACTGTGCAATTGAATATTTCTTGCTATTGCGCAATACTGCACAATTGACAATTTCTTGCTATTGCACAATATTGTGCTATTGGATATTTCTTGCTATTGCGCAATACTGTGCAATTGAAGATTTCTTGCTATTGCGCAATACTGTGCAATTGAAGATTTCTTGCTATTGTGCAATACTGTGCAATTGAAAATTTCTTGCTATTGCACAATACTTATTATATAATAATTTACACATCCTGTTTGGTGTGTATCTCCTACCATATCATTATTATTTGCATTTAAATATAAATCAGAAATAACCAACTTAAAATGGAAAATTTTAAAAGTAAAAAAAAAGTAAAAAAAAATAAAATCCCCCCCCCCCCAAATTTTTTGAACCCCCTTATGATTCATCACCCCCAAACTCAATCCCAGCCTTCCCTTTGTGAAATGGTACCTTGCAGTACAATTTCAGAGAGATCCATACACTTGAATACAAGTTATTGTCTGGAAACTAGAAAAATGTGTTTTTTGGCCCCTTTTTGGCCCCCAATTCCTAAACGTTTCGGGCAATTACCCCCAAACTCAATTCCAGCTTTTCCTTTGTGATATGGAACCTTGTAGTACAATTTCAGAAATATCCAAAGACTTACACACAAGTTATTGTCATGAAACTAGAAAAATGCTTGTTTTTTTACCCTTTTTTGGCCCCTAATTCCAAAAATTTTGAGGCAATTACCCCCAAAATCAATCCCAGCATTCCCTGTGTGATATGGAACCTTGTGGTACAATTTCAGAGAGATCCATACACTTGAACACAAGTTATTGTCTGGAAACTATTAAAATGCTTATTTTGGCCCCTTTTTGGCCCCTTATTCCTAAACGTTTTAGGCAATTACCCCCAAACTCAATTCCAGCTTTCCCTTTGTGATATAGAACCTTGTAGTACAATTTCAGAAAGATCCATACACTTTCACACAAGTTATTGTCATGAAACTAGAAAAATGCTTGTTTTTTGCCCCTTTTTTGGCCCCTAATTCCTAATATTTTGAGGCAATTACCCCCAAAATCAATCCCAGCATTCCCTTTATGATATGGAACCTTGTTGTACAATGTCAGAGAGATCCATACACTAACACACAAGTTATGTCTGGAAGTTGCAAAAATGCTTATTTTTGGCCCCTAATTCCTTAACTGTTGGTACCATAACCCCCAAAATCAATCCCAACCTTCCTTTTGTGGTATTGAACCTTATGGAAAAAAATTTCATAGAGATCCATTCACTTAAACTAAAGTTAGAGTGCGAAAACCAATGTGTCTTCGGACAACGCAGGACGACGACGACGCCAACGTCATACCAATATACGACCGCAAAAATTTTTGCGGTCGTATAATAAAAACTTAAAAGAATTATTTCATACTACAATCATTTTGTTATGCACCTTCTATTTTATGTCCTCTATTTTTAATTATTTATTATTCCATTTGCCTAGTATGTCATCATAGTCAAGGCTGTGATAATTTGTGGGTTTTATAGACTTTGTATCTGATACAAAACTGTTCATCAGTTAAGTGCATTATAAAATACTTCAGATTTCAATCGGTTCTCAATGAGCAAAACAATACTGTAAAGTCAGCTATAAAAGGCCGAAACATGAAGACAGGTAAACATCAAAATCTTGGTCAAAACATTAATTTGGCATATATTCTTAAAAAGTTCATATCATAATGAATATGTTTACTAGGTTTCAAGTTGATGTGACAAAAAATCATGGTAAATAAACACATCATAGACACAATGTACCAGGATTAAAATTTTGTAGGCCAGACAAATTCAAAGTTTTGCAAACAGAAATAATTCATAATTATGACCATATCAAAGATAATTCATGTCAACACAGAAGTGCTGACTTCTTGGCTTGTGATACCCTTAGGGATGAAACCTCCAACAGCATTGGCAAAACTACCTTAAACTAAAACTTTAACCTTAAGGGACATAGGGACGAACGCACAAACAAGAAAAAAAAACATACTATTTCAGGCAGGGAATAACAACATTTATGTTCATTATATATGTTAGGCTTTTTCAACAGAAAGTTTTACAATGATTCAGATCAGATTTTGATTTCTATGCAATCAGTTTAAGTGACCTTTCACATTTTGATGCAAAATTTATATATTTTGCACTTAAAATAATCCTACTGCCAGTAAAAACATGTATATGATATAAAGGCTTACCTCTACCAAAATTCCTTTAAAGTTTGATGCAAGAGACACAGATCCAATTTTGATAACAAAATCCCATAACTCATATCTCTGCCCTCTACTTTCAATCCTAAAACCTTTTCTCTGTTGGTAGAAACTCTCTCGTCCTGTCTTAGCAGCTGTTAATTTAGACATGAGTACATCAAACAATAAATCTGACACAAGAATTGTCCCTGTGTCCAGTGCAGCAAAACATGACGCAGGGTGTTCACTGTTGTGTAGAATATGAATTAGTCTTTGTGAAACTGAAAGATAAATCACAAATGCCTAGTACATGTATTACAGCTTATATTCATAGTTTGTATTTGGTCATGATCAAGTCAGGTGATATCTAGTTAATTAACTGGTCACATCTACACTGTACAATTTCCCTTTGTCATATCACCGGTTTGAACCTTGTTGCAGTTATATTTGTAACATTAAATAATACCTTTTTTATTGGTTTGTGAAATGTGATAGTAAGCTGTCAATAAATAGTGGTAGTTTAGCCTGAGCATTCTAGATTTCACTGACTTCTCTTTAGAATTTTGGCTATATTCCACCAATTAAAACAAGTGAATATTTTTTAGTTGTCAACTGAAAATGACACTTAAAATGCTTAAGACTGAGAAACATGAACCCTATTAAAAACCAAGGGTAACTTCAGGTGATCCAAAGGGTAAGCATATTCTGCTCCCCTACAGTCAGGGGTACTACTTGTACATGTAATTTTTATTTACTTTAAAAAGTAAATAATAATATACCTATATAAGTAAATTTGCTATATTCATATTTTCTTACAATGTTTGAATAACCTCCCCTTAATTTTCTTAAAAAGTATTTTTTTTTATAATCCCAAAAATTCTCAAGTTTTGGGATGTAAAAACATGCCTTAAACAATTTTTCCCTGGTTAGCTCATAATTTTCTATTAGAGTTCAATATTTCATCTCATTAATTCAACAGAGAAACTAATTGCGCAAAGATCTTAAGTAATTGCGCACGGCCTTCAAAAATTGGAGGCTTGTAAATGAGCAGTGTTTTGAAGATAACAGACTAATGAGATTTTCATTGTCCATGGTATTACATGGAAATTAAATTTAATGATTTGTAAAAACATCTGCAAAGGACAGACAATTGAAAATTCTATTAGAGCAAAGAATCCTGAGAAATTCAAGAAAAGAAGATAATATGACTTTACACTTGTATAAGTATCTTACAAATTTACTTATATAAGTATATTAATATTTACTTCTTAAAGTAAATAAAATTAACTTGAACAAGTAGTAACCCTGACTGCCCTAGTAGTACACATCATGATGACAGATGTTGCTTATGAAGTATAACAATCTAGACATATTTGAAATGTATAATGAATGACAAAAGGGTGACAGTTGTTGCAACAACAAAAATACCATAGTATTTGGTCTTCTTTGACACAGATATTCCATAAATGTCAACCATATCGTAAGAACTAAACTCATTTCCAGTAATAAAGATCCCCTAACATAAATTATGATTCAAGGAAACAAAAACAATGTACAACTTACTATTCTGTGAATTTGACTGGTACGTTTCACAATCAACACAAAAGTTACCAGATCTTGTGGCTCCTAGTAATTCTACATTTTTCTGTAACATATCAACTGCTTGTTGCCCACTCTTACCCTCAGGCACAGCATAGCTAAAAATACTACAAAGACAAATTAAAACAAAGATAAATATGATTATTTTAAAAAAAAGTATAGCAAAGGGAAACTGAAAGGTGTAGGACAAGGCCCTAAATTTTTAATGATTTCATATATATAACCTAATTACCAATACTTATAATCTTAAATGTGCAAAATTAAATAAACAAAACATATTTTTCTGCTAAATATTTGTTTTAGAAAGTTTTGAATGCTTTAAAAAATCACAATATTCCCTTTTTTGTTTTGCCAAATTCCCTGTTTAACTGCATTCCTTCTGTAACAGGTCATAGATTGACTATAAATTAATAATTAAACCACTTTTATAGAAGGTTCAGCCACTGGCCTTCTTCAGTTTCTTTATTATCCTTTTAATTAAAAACATGGTAGTTAATTCACTTTTCACAATCATTTCAATGATTATAAAATAGTTTAATTACTACAACATGTACAATAATATAAAATGTGTTTGCTATTGGATGCTCTATAAAAAATTGGGGATCTGGAAGGAGTGATGCACACAGGAAGAGTTAAGAAATTTCTACTATTCTTCAAAACCAAATCTTGTTTGTCTTTTAATTTAGACATGGCACATTCTTTCCTAACAATAACCATGATAACATGGATAGCAGTGCTCAAATGAGAGAAAAAGACACGAGTGTTTGTTCTGGTTGAAGAAATTAATCTCAAATTATGTTTATGTGTTTTAGCACTGACAATTTTAGATTTCAAGATGTTTACAAGAAAATAAAAAATAAACAATTCTTCAAAATATTCATGATATAATTTTAGTTGATGCATCATGATGGTATGAAAATCAGTCACAGTGTCTTGTCTGTCCTATCAAATATGGGGCCAAATTCGGAAGGAAAAATCTTGAAAAGAATCAATGGAATGAGAAGAAAAGGTCTGTTTGAATTTAAGCTTTTGCATTGAACCTATATTAAACAATTTACCACACAACTCCCATTTCATTCCATTATTTTTATACAAAAAGGGAAATAACTTGATGTTTTTTTTGAATTTTTCATACAAAACGAATTTTAATTACCTATATGTTTATGTGTATTTGAAGAAGCCTCAACAATAAAACTCTATTCAATTTAAATAGAATCACTCATTCTAATGTTATTTCAGAAAGTTCAATGTATGATCTGTAAATAAAATTATTTTTAATTCAATGTTTCGTTTTCCGATAGGGAAATAATTCCTCATTATTTATTTACCACCGGCGGCGAACGAAAAGACCACGCTGTTGTTATTAATCGATTCACAGAAGAAAACACACGATGGCCGTACGTATAAATTGATAATCTTCAATGCACTGTTCCCTGATTTACTCTTCTCCTCCCTTAAATGGTCAAGATATTCTATTCTGTCATCAAGCGACGGGAATCCAGGATGTCACGTAAAAAAGGGGGAGGACACAACAAAGCTATTTTATTAATATTTGTGTATGCATTAATACCATTATCTCGTATTTCATTTCAATTTTATCACCAGAACCTATTAAAATTAGTTTTTGACGCAGATCTTTACACTGTTAGAGCCTACTTGTCAAGCTATGTTTATTTGTAAATTGTAGTTAAACTTCCCAGGCTGATATGCTGCGGTCCCTCAGCGCCTTCCAAATATTTTCGTTGACCCTGCATTGCTTTTATTGCACTTTCTAAAAAGATAACCTTGCAGCATGTAAATATTCATATTTAGGAACTGTTGATAACTTTTGTAAAGTTAAAGATCACTGTTGAGAAGAAAGTCAATATTACACCAAATTACACAATTATTGATTATTGCTTATAAAACAACAAATAGGTCTAGTACAAGAGATGAGACCTTCACATTTATCATGTTAAGCAATATAGATACATGGATCTCCATAACCTGTTTGATGATGGCACACCGCCGTCGTTAAAATATCTTCCACCATCGTCAAATGATCCCTGCAAAATTTTGATTTCGTTTAGCTAGCCACAACCATTTTTTTGTCTCGCCTCGAAGGAGTCAAAAAGCGAGACAAAGGTATGCTGTTTCCGGCGGCTGCGGCTTCAACAATGTATTAGTTTGTGATTAGGTTCAGTTCATGGTGAACCACTAGTGGTAGGTCAATGATATTTGGTATGCAGTTGTATTAGCATTGGCACATCTCATTACCATGGAGATTATTTGGCCCTGCCCCCTCAGTCAAGGTCTATTGACTTTGAAACTTTGCTTAGTTTACATGTATTAGTTTGTGATTACATGTAGGTCAGTTTAAGGGGAACCACTAGTGGTAGGTCAATGATAATTGGTATGCAGTTGTATAAGCATTAGCACATCTCATTTCCATGGAGAATATTTGGTCCTTACCCTTCAGTCATAGTCTATTGACTTTGAAACTTTTGCTTAGTTTACATGTATTAGTTTGTGATTAGGTCAGTTTAAGATGAACCACTAATGTTAAGTCAATGATATTCGGTATGCAAATGTGTTGGCTTTTGCAAGTTTCATTTCCATGGAGATTATATAACCCCACCCCCTAATTATGGTTCATTGACTTTGAAACTTTTACATAGTTTACAAGTTAATGTTTGTTGTTAGATTTGTTTAAAGGAAACAAATTATGAAAAGTCAATGGTATTTGGTTTGCAGTTGTATTAGCATTGGCACATCTCATTTCCATGGAGATTGTTTAGCCCTGTACCTTCAGTCATGGTTCATTGACTTTGAATATTTGCATAACTTACATGTTAAAGTACAAATGTATTGCTATTTTAATTTCAACATTTGCATTATCAAAATAACGAATAGGTGAGACATATCTCTGTGTTAACATGTACAGTTTATGTTAGCAATTATAATCAATTGCATGTAATTGCATAACCCTTATTGTACATGTATTATAATCCAAAGACCCCTCCTGATTACAGTTTTAAAGCCCTGAGGGATGTCCAGCTAAATATCGCTAATCACTTGTACAGGTAGATCATCACACCTGACAGGAGAACACTTGATCAAGATAGATATTTGATTGCATTATTTCATTACGTTTCAGCAAATGCTAATGAAAACATAGATTAGAAAATAAATTTTAAATCCAGTTACGAAGAAAAAAGTTATCAAATCGAACACATGCTTTTATATTGACTTACGCAATCAGCATCCCCCTTTTTAAACGAGTTCTAAATAAGACGTAACACAGAACATAATTTCATGCCACATAACACGAGTGCAATTGTCGATAATTTTGAATCACTTTACAATTTTAAAACCAAATACATGAATATTAACTACAACTTGATAATGATAATCTGAAGAAATTTCGTATCGTTATTCCGAATTCATTTCAATGTTAACAATCAAATTAATACATCTGGTTTACATTCAGAATCGGGAGATGCATGTTGCATAGTCTATTTCTATGAAATTTGTATTTTTAAAGTCATTAAAACAATTTATAAGTTGTAAACGTTTGCCCTCCAAATCTTTCTTCTACGTTTTACAAAACGGGTACAAAACTTATTGTTGTTGATGCTGCAAATCGTTGATGCTGGTTCATGTATTCTGAATTGGACAGTGAAAAAAAGAACTCCCTGATTTTTAAGTCCTAAACAATTACCAAAATAGTAAGAAAACAACTTGTGAACCTTAAGGACAGCTTGTGGTCATACTTGTCTAAGGGGAGCCATGCAGGCTTGACATTGGAATTGTAACAAATTTGACAATGAAAATATTGGTTATTTTATAATGAAATAAATATAAAAACAATATACATATATCAGTCTGTTCACCATTCCTTACATAGAAATGGAGGAATGAAATACTTTCGATCACGCCACACCGTAGACACAGGGTTTTGTCATGGTGAAAGTTCCTCCATCGTTAAATTTTCATCTGTGGAGATCCCTGAAATATATGTACAGTAAAATATTGTCTACAAACTTTTTTTACCTGACTAATTTAGTTTGATATAATTTAGACACTGTTTTGTGTTTTTGTTTACTTTTAGGCTTTACCTATGAACCCCAAACCATTTTTGAATGGACTTACAGGAAAACCAGTGATGGTCAAGCTAAAATGGGGAATGGAATATAAAGGTTATTTGGTGTCTGTAGATGGTTACATGAATTTACAGGTCAGTTTATATATAATGTAACCGTACCCAAATTGCACCGAGTACCCAATTTACACTACATGTATTTTACTTGAAAAACGACTGGTATCTCATAGGTTTTCAAAGAGACTAAACAATTCATAGTTTTGTCATATATCAGTATGCACATCTTTCAACATAGCTTTAAAAATATTAAAGATACACAAAACGGTCAAATTATATATCAGCAGATGAACTATATATTTAGTGAAAAGTAAAATTTAAGAAAACTTTGCATGTGATCCAAAAATCAAGAGCAAAGTTTAAATTTAAGCTGTTGTTGCACATGTACAATTAGATCCAAATGTATTATTCATCTTTCATTTTGCTAGAAGCTGGAAGTATCCTTGATCATTTAGGTGGACTGATTGATAAAAGTTGATGATATCTCATACATACCTGTAGCTACAATGTAAAAGATAAGGAGATGTGGTTTCAAGAAAATGTGTAGTGCTATGTATCATTAAATCTTTTGTGTATTTTATGTTTCTAGCTTGCTAACACAGAAGAATTCATTGATGGTATTCAGACAGGAAACCTTGGGGAGGTTTTAATCAGGTATTTAAAGAATAATATATAATTACGTTCACTGCAAATATTTAAAATAGATTTTGTGTATTTTATTATTATCATAGAGCTGTTAGCTTTGTAAAAATTTTGTTTGCAGATATCCTTTTAATCAAATGCACACTTTAAAAAGCATGTAATTCTAAAGATGTATACTGAGTTTCCTGTCTTTTCTAAAGATACAAATGTACATGTAACTATTAATTTATTTACTTTCAACTAACAATAAATTTCCAGAAATACTTGTTATACTTTGGAATGTGTGTTATTGTACCCCCTAAAAATATTAGAGGAAAGTTAAAGATTTTTTTTTAAGATGGAAAACCAATGGCACACATAACAGTAAGGATTCTACTTTGTCAAAATTATTTCCCCATTATCCCATCTAATTTTTTAAATCGTGAAAATGGAAGCCATTGTAAGGATGACACTATCAATTTAGCTCTTGAAAACCGATAAATTTATCCACATAGCTTCATAACGATTCTTACATGACAATTGTATTTAAAAGACAAATGTATCGACTAGCTATTAAGCATCATTTAATGAACTTATAGGCCTTTTGTCAACTTAAAAATAATTTTCTGATCAGTTGTCGGGGAATTTTTATACGACCACAAAAATTAAAAAATTTTTGTTATACGACTGCAAAAATTAAAAAATTTTTGGTCGTATATTGGTATCACGTTGTCGTCGTCCGAAGACAGATGGTTTCCAGATAATAACTTTAGTATAAGTAAATAAAAATCAATAAAATTTTAACACAAGGTTTATAACCACTAAAGGAAGGTTGGGATTGATTTTGGGGGTTATGGTCCTATTTGTTTAGGAATTAGAGGCCAAAAAGGGGCCTAAATAAGCATTTTTGTAGTTTCCAGACAATAACTTTTGTTTAAGTGTATGAATCTCTCTGAAATTATACCACAAGTTTCCATACTACAAAGGGATGGTTAGGATTGACTTTGGGGGGGGGGGGGGGGGGGGGTTATGGCTCAACCCAATTAGTAATTAGGGGCAAAAAAAGGGGAAAACAAGGGTTTTTCTGGTTAAAGGACAATTGAGACAATTTAAAAGCAGTGTAAGGGAGGTAATCCAAATCAATTAAAAGAACACTGTTTGATTACCTCCCTTACACTGCTTGTAAATTATGTATTAAGAAATGATGATTGTCTTGAGGTGATAAGCTGTCAATTTATTTTTAGCAGTTACTATTAATTAATATTAATTTTAGCCATGACTATGTATGTCATTTTATATTTTAAAACTTTTATGATGTATTTAAATGGGTAATTATGATTGCAAACTCCATTAGAAATTTGAATTGAGATACTGACCATATCTTGAGGGAAAGATTTTTTTTGGGGAATAAGGGAAAGGGGAAGGTGAAAAAAATTGGAGGGGGGGGGGGGGGACAATTTTTCTCATTTCAGATTTCAGAAATTAAAAGAAAATTTCTTCAAATTTTTTTTTTGGGGTTAATATTCAACAGCATAGTGTATTGCACAAAAGCAAAAAACCGGGGTAATTTTTTTTTGGGGGGGGATTCAATTCGCAACAGCATAGTGTATTGCACAAAAGCAAAAAATTGAATATAAATTCAAATCATATAACCAATTTGAAGTTCTTTGACTACAGTTATTCTTTGTCAGAAACCTATTATGTGTCAAAAATTTAGTTACAATCCAAATTCAGACCTGTATCAAGCGTGAATATTGTGTCCATTTTGGCCCCAACTTTTCAGGGTTGGACATCTGCGGTCGTATCCAGCTGCGCTCAGCGAAGCAATTTATTGAAAGTTAAAAAGGTACTAAAAAAATTCAAATCAAGTATTTCGTGGAAGGGCAGACTAAATATTTTCAGAGGTTGAAGACTTATTACCCTGGATACCACAAAACAAAAAGATTTTTTTTGAACTTATGCATCTTTAAGATCCACTTGTAAAGTCTGTCGTCAAGTACTTTTAGTTAAAATTTGATAAATCAAACACACCAACTCTGTTATTATGACTCATTAGAAAGGTAATTCACTTGACCCATATATTTCATTTTTTAGTACTGTGATTTTTAATGTTATTATACATGTATCAACCTGTAGCCTAAATATATAAAAATGATATAATGTGAAGCGAGATGATGTATCAAATATGCTTGCTTTATACGTTTTCAAGACAAAACAGTCAATTCAAACACTCCTGAACATAAAAAGGTGTACTCGACATTCTCTTTTCAGTGAGATTATTGCCCATTTTTAGGATTTTTTCTTGAAAAACTGTCCCCAGGGGCAGAGATGCAAATTAATGCTTTAAAAAGATCATTCTTTTATTTTTCTGTGTAATTTTTTTGGTGGAATTTATGCTTATGCACAAAAAAGATCCACATGTATTTGTACCTACTGCAATCGACTGTTTTGTGAAAATTTGTCTTTTATTTAAAATTTTACAAATATTTCCGATGTACCATATTGTAATTTACATAAAAACACATAGATGAGATGCAAAAAATCCTAAATTATGCACCTACATTAAACATGTTAAACTTTTAAAACCCATAGAAACAGATGTAAACAATTCAAATATACATGTACCAACTTGGTCTGTTTTACCTTCTCTAATAATGAGTTCCATTTCTTTTGGTTAATTTCAACTGGATATCAGCCAGATTAAATGCCAGCCATGTACAGTAAAATTATTAAACAGAAAGCCATAAAAATTATTATGAATAAAAGTATGTAGCAGAAAGTTTTATGTAAGATTCAATATAAGAATTATAATGCCTTTAATGTTAAATAAATAAATGTCCATTATTACTTTATTTCAGATGTAACAATGTGTTGTACATCAGAGGAGTGGAAGAAGAAGATGAGGAGGGAGAAATGAAAGACTAAGATCTCCATTTTACCATCTCTCATTCATACATCATCATTATCATCTCATCTTTTTTATAGATTTGGAACATTTTAATCCTTTGAATATCATGTATATGTATGTTTTCTTTAAATTGTGAAGTGAATCATGAATGCAAAGTTTAGTGAGCAGAAGTTGAGCAATATTCATCCATTTTTGTATCTGATTTATGCTAATGCAGACAAGTCTTGGAACAAACATGAAAAAATAAACATCACGCATATTAATACATGATTGTAAAATTTTATTATGTTGTACATATTTTGTTATAGCAACAAATAAAGTAAATTTGTTGTGGTATATCAGACTTTTTTTCAGGCCCAAGATATTGTAGACATTTTAATAATGCGTTAACTGATCACATATCCTTTAAAAGGAACTGATCTTATATTATCTCTTTTTCCAAACCAATGTAGGGGGAATTATTTTTATCGGCCGCTTTTACACAAGCTTTCATCAAACAATTCTGTTTTTTTCAGTAAATTAAAATTGTTACTTTCTTCTACTGTGATAAAAATTATCCTTTAAAAAAAATTTAATGTATAACACATTTATCGCCGTATAAATATTCTATTCTCTTCCAAATAGCCTATTAAAGATTGTCTGACTGTATGGTCTGATATCCACCATCCTAAGCACAGATCTAAAGCAAACCTAAATGACTAGAATCAGAATTTGTACAATGAAGTTCCGAAGTATACAGACCTCTTTTCACAGAAGAATAATTAGTAAAAAAAAAAATGAAAAATACATAATCAAAAAGCATACATAGAAGTTTTGTTAGAATCCCTAAGTACTTGTAAATATGTAGCTTTTTAACTCAACTGACCTGACACTTACCACTAGTGTCTGTAGTCCTCGTACTTGTTTTTGTCTCGCCTTTGACAATAGTGGCAGAATGTGAGACAGGGTGGCAGCCATGTATACTATTTATATAAAGCTTTATATTTCAGAAGGTAGAAAACCTTGTATGCAGATGCCTTATGTTACCAAGTTTCGATCTGTCATATGTCCATTGTCCTTGAACTCGTTTTCATGGTTCAGCAACTGCTTGAAAAAATGTTTAGTTTTTATACGCCCGTTTACGGGACGTATTATGGTATACCTCTGTCCGTCTGTCCGTCCGTCGTCAACATGTCGGACATTAACTCAAAAAGGCTTTAACCAATTTGCATAAAACTTTGGTGAATTGTTTATATCTATTGACGTGAGCTCCCTTTCGTTTTTTATAAATTTTAGATTTTACGTTTCCGAGTAATGGGGTTTTATTCATTAAAAAAAGGGGGATTTTCCAGTTTTCGGACAACAACTCAAGAATGCTTTCACCAACTTGCAAGAAATTGTGGTGAATTGTTTATATCTATTGACATGAGCTCCCTTTCGATTTTTTTTATTTTAGGTTTTACGTTTCCGAGTTGCAGGGTTTTATTCATAAAAAAAGGGGGATTTTCCAGTTTTCGGACAAAAAATCAAAAATGCTTTCAGCAGTTCTTATCAAACTTTGGTGAATTGTTTATATCTATTGATGTAAGCTCCGTTTAGAATTTTATAAATTTTACATTTTAAATTTCTGAGTTATGGGGTTTTATTCATTAAAAAAGGGGGGATTTTCCAGTTTTCGGACAATAACTCAAAAATGCTGTCAGCAATTCTCATGAAACTTTGGTGAATTGTTTATATCTATTGATGTAAGCTCCCTTTACATTTTTATAAATTTCTAATATGACATTGAGAATAAATTGAACTTTATTTGTTTATAGTCTGACAACAGATTTACTAAGTATTGCGCAACAGCACAGTGTATTGCACAACAGCAAGAAATCTTTAATTGAATATAAATTCAATTCATATAACCAATTTCAAGTTCTTTGACTACATTTATTCAGAAACCTATAATATGTCAAATATTTAATTACAATCCAAATTCAGACCTGTATCAAGCTTGAATATTTTGTCCATTTTTGCCCCAACTGTTCAGGGTTGGACCTCTGCGGGCGTATCCAGCTGCGCTCAGCGAAGCAGTTTATTTGTCATGAAATACTCATTTATGAGTAATAAGATAACTATGTTTGGTATATGGGATCCTTGCAAGGTCTTCATGTCTGTATGAAATAATTCACCTGACCTCCACCTCATTTTATGGATCAAACAGTGATGAAGGTTAAGTTTTCATGGTGAAGTCCGTATCTCTGATACTATAAGCATGTCAATATAATACTTCCATGCTATAAGCAATAGGTCAACTATATGTGGTGTATGAAATGTTTGTAAAGTGTACATGTTAAACTGGAAGGTTTTATCTGACCTTTTTTTCATTGTTCACTTATCGATTTAGAGTTTTTGTGGTTTGGTCTGTTACTCAGATACTCTAAGCAACAGTTCATCTGTATTTGGTGTATGGAATGATTGTAAGGTGTACAAGTCCATCTGGAATGAATTTTGTCATTTTAGTAGTTACTAGTGTACAAGTTTGACTATGCAAATATGAATACTTGCCCCGAAGAGACAGTATACGTGACAAACAAAGCAGGATTACCATATAGGCAGTGTTGTCGGACACACCTGGATTCACTCTATTTAAAGTTCATGACAATGGATGTATGAACATCAAGATATGCTTACTCTGTAGACATAGTGTTGACTGACACTGGGTAATACACTCTGCTTACACTAGGCACTTTTGTCTGACAAACCATGATTCTCTCTGCTTGAACTGTAGGCAGTGTTGTTGGACACATCTGGATTCAGTCTGCTTACACCAGACAGTGTTGTTGCACACACCTAGATTCACTCTGCTTATTCTGTAGACCGTGTTGTCGGACACACCAAGCTTAATTTTGCTTATCCTGTAGACAGTATTGATAACACACCGTGATTGACCCGGCTTACACTGTAGACAGTTGTCAGACACACCTAAATTCACTCTGCTTACACTATAGAAAGTGTTGTTGCATACACCTTAATTCACTATGCTTTCCCTGAAGACCGTGTTATCGGACACACCTACATTAAGTATGCTTACACTGTATATAGTATTGTCCGACATACCTAGATTAACTCTGCTTATTCTGTAGACTGCGTTATCAGACACACCTAGCTTAATTTTGCTTATCCTATAGACCGTGATTCACTCTTTTAAGCCTGTAGACAGTTTTGACGAACACACCTAGATTAACTATGCTTACCCTAAAAGACACTATTGTCATACACCCCTGGATTCCCTCTACTTACCCTGTAGACAGCGTTGTTGGAAACACTTGGATTCACTCTGCTTACCCTGAAGATAGCGTTGTTGGACACTCCTAAATTCACTCTGCTTATCTTGAAGACCGTGTTGTCGGGCACACATAGATTCACCCTGCTTACCTTTTAGACTGTTGTCGGACACACCAAGATTATCCTGCTTAACTTTTAGACTGTGTTGTCGGACACACTAAGATGAAATCTGCTTACCCTGTAAACATTGTTGTCGGACACACCTAGATTCACTCTGCTCACCAGTGAGACAATGTTGTGGGATACACCTAGATTTACTCTGTATACAGTGTTGAAGGGCAAACCTAAATTCACTATGAAATCTCGGTAGACAGGGATGTCGGAAACACCTAAATTCACTATGCTTTCTTTAGGCCTGTAGATAGTGTTGTTGGACGCACCTTGATTCACTCTGCTTTCCCATTAGACATTGATGTCGGACACATCTAAATTCCCTCTGCTTACTCGAAGACATTGTAGGACACAGATATAATTATTAACTCTGCCTACCATGTGAAAAATGTTGACAGAAACACCTGAATCCACTTTGTCTACTTTGTCTACCCTGTAGACAGCATTGTCCGACACACCAAGATTCACGCTGCTTATTCTGTAGACCGTGTTGTCAGACACACCTAGATTCATTTTGCTTATACTGTAGAGTGTTGTCGGACATACCTAAATTCACTCTGCTTACTCTGAAGACAGTTTTGTTGGACACACCTAAATTCACTCGGCTTTCACTGAATACAGTTGTCAGACACACCTAGATTCATTTTGCTTATACTGTAGAGTGTTGTCGGACACACCTAAATTCACTCTGCCTACTCTGAAGACAGTTTTGTTGGACACATCCCTAAATTCACTCGGCTTTTCCTGAATACAGTGTTGTCAGACACACCTAGATTCATTTTGCTTATACCATAGAGTGTTGTCGGACACACCTAAATTCACTCTGCTTACTCTGAAGACAGTTTTGTTGGACACACCTAAATTCACTCGGCTTTCACTGAATACAGTGTGGACAGACACGCCTAAATTTGTTTATGCTTACTCTAGGCCTGTAGGTAGTTGTCAGGCACACCATATTTCACTCAGCTTACTCTATAGACAGTGTTTTCAGATAAACCTTGTTTCACTCTTTAAAACCCTGTATATGGTGTTGTCGGACACACCTAAATTCACTCTGCTTTCCCTGTAGGCAGTGTTGTGTGACACATCTAAATTTTGTACTTACCTGAGACCTGTAGATAGTGTTGTCGGACAATTTTATATTTACTTAGCTTCCCCTATAGACTGTGTTGTCAGACAAACCGTGATTCACGCTGTTAACCATGTAGACAGTGTTGTCTGACACACCTAGATTAACTATGCTTACACTGAAGACAGTGTTGTCGGACACACTTAAATTCTCTCTGCTTATCATGTAGACAGTGTAGTTGAACTCACCCAAATACACCTTGCTTACCCTGTAAATAATGTTGTCGGACACACCTAACTTCACTCTGCCTACTCTGTAGACAGTTTTGTCGGACACATCTAACTTACTCTACTTTCCCTGAATGCAGTGCTGTCAGACACACCTAAAATTTTAAGCTAACTGTAGGCCTGAAGATAGTGTTGTCAGGCACACCTATATTTACTCAGCTTACCCTATAGACACTGTTGTCAGATAAGCCTTGATTCACTCTGTTGACCCTGTAGACGGTGTTGTCGGACACATTTAAATTCGCTTTAATTAACCGATGCCTGTAGATAGTGTTGTAGGACATTTCTTTATTTGTTCAGCTAAATAGACCTTGCTTACCCTGTAAACAATATTGTCGGACACACCCAAATTCACTCTATTACTCTGTAGACAGTTTTGTCGGACACATCTAATTTACTCTACTTTCCCTGAATGCAGTGCTGTCAGACACACCTAACATTTTTTGTTCTAATTAACTGTAGGCCTGAAGATAGTGTTGTCAGGCACACCTATATTTACTCAGCTTACCCTATAGACACTGTTGTCCGATAAACCTTGATTCACTCTGTTGACCCTG